TAGCCGCTCTTGACCTTGGAGGCATCGACCTTGTAGTAGTCGTGGCCGGCGGTCTGGGAGCTGGCTTGGAGAGACGAGAAGACCCACCTGTGGTTACATTAGATGTGGGTCTTATATGGGGATAGGCATTTCGCCCCATCGTGACTTACAGATCAGCGCTTCCGGTATCGAAGTCAAGGTGGACAGTGGTGCTGCCAATGGTGACCGGGCTCAGGTATGCCGAGTCATATGCGTCATTGGGAGCGGCAGGCACTGATCCACTGGCAGCAGCAGCGGCAACAACAGTGTTGCTAGCCCTGTTTTGTGCAGCCTCAACAAGGCTTTGAGGAACAGCCTTGCCGTGCTTGCGGAGGGCCTTGATCTTCTGCTCGGGTCCGTTCTTTAGGTAGGTAGAGCGAGGAACTTGCTCGACCGAGAAGGAGTTTCCCTTGTCTGCAATCACGTGTTAGGTTGGAGCTTTTCATCAAGGCAGTGTTTGACATACGCAGAACAGGAGTGGCAACAACAGTGCTGGCAAAAGCGAGCGCCGCCGTGAGGTGGGCGAATGAAGGCATGATAACGATGGACTATCTGATACGGCAGAAGAGCGAGGGGTGAAAGGCCAGTGGTAGCTGAAGCCTGTATGAGAGGCTTGAAGAGAAGACGAAGCCGGTACAGAAGCAATAGAGTCGAGGGCATGCCTTGGCTTTATACCAAGCAATGCCAACAAGGCGCGGCATAAAGTCTTGTCCATGACGATGATGTGCTCGTTACCCTGTTCGATCTGTCTACGCCGCCCTCTATTGGCATCGTAGGCGTAGTGTAGGATCATAGTGGGGTAAACGATCAACATTGAAATTAGATCCCGCAACCACTCATGGTAACGAGTCCTATCTTGGCAGGTCGATCATGCTCGCAAGGCGGTGGCGCCGCGTTTCATACATTTACCTGCTACATTGAGACTTGGCGTCGGTCACGCAAGTGCATGCGGAGCCGGGTGTTGGTAGAAGGGCGCTTGGGATAGGCGACGGCCCTTGTAGATCGGATATTGCGACTGAAGTGACCATCTTGCGCGAGTGTAGGACCGAATGCGTGGCGGCGTGTCCGTAGTACTACATCGTGTAATTGCAGGCTGTGAGGTTCCGCAGGCGTAGCAACGGCGGGACCGAGGTATGTTTCGAAGAATGTGGCAAGTTAATAGTACTGTACCGAATCTTCATGGCTATTGGTGACTGCTGGAATGAAAGTTGCCATAGTATAGCGTCCCTTGTTCGCTAAGGGGCGGGTTAGTGCTTCCCCAGTGTTGTGTAGTGCGTGTGCCTGCCAGTCAAGCTTCGAAGCGCGCTACCAAGCATGCCACTTTCACGCTTGGCGCTATCATGCTGCAGGGAGCGGGACAGCCACAGCCGTTGAAACACGGCCTGGAAATGGCCTGAGGTGTGTTGGTCATGCAAACACGGACATCCGTCAATAACGTCAATGTCGTCAACGTGTGTCCATGCTTTCTACACCGTGGCTGCATGGCTGTCGTTCGCCTCTTGACATATGCTTTGGTATCGATAGTCGCATGCAAACGTGCCGTAGTACCATGGATAGCTCGCGATCAGCAGGCCAACTGCCGGCGAACAGCGCAGTCACATCTGCCCTTGCGCCCGATGTCCAGCCTCCAAAAACTCGCCGAGTCGTCCAGCCGATCGGTAGCTGTTAACGCATGATTAATTAACAGCGTAACTTAGCAAACAACGCGATAAGAGCGGCGGCGGACTGCATTAGGTAGGTGGCGATGGTGGTGTGGTTGAAGGGCGGGCGTCTGCAGACGGCACATGGGAGAGGTTGAGTGTAGGCCCGGCCCTAGTGGACCATCCCGCCTGGCCTAACTAACCCTTTCATGTCGCAAAGACACATGCCACGACCAATCATCAGCATGGGGCACTTTTGCCCACGAAATCGCGAATCTCGAGCTCGGCCAATTGCGCATTATAAGGCCGCTTGCGCTTCCAACCTGCCAATTCAGGACGTGATCCGCAACATTCCAAGCACACTACACCGCGGAGGAGGATGGTATCAAGCACCATCAAGCTTGGTCACGCATGCCGAGGAGAATGCTTAGCACCACACTTTGCGAGTTGGCGCTCCCCCAGGCTGGACTGCGGAATGTTGTTCATATCCTATCAACGTTGGATACACACTGCTATGCCGATGCTCGGTGGTTTAGAGTTTCTTATCACCTGCCCATTGCGATGCAAAGTCGTTGCTGGCGCATGTCACTCCACGCCATCTGTCGATCGTGAAGGATGGTATCAAGCAAAGCCAAGCTGCTTGAGGAAGCTTGGTACACGCAGGCACAGAAATTCTCCGATACTAGCTGTGGATTGGGTATCTGGAAAAGGAAAGAAAAGTTGGCGGCTGCCTTATCTTCGGAGCAAACTTGTTGCGGTCAACGAGATGCATTTCGCCGCAAATCAAGGGCAGACCCCAGTCTAAGTCCAAGTCTAAGTCCAAGTCTGAATCTGAGTCTGAGTGAGTCTGAACCTGAGTTCCAAGTTTGAGTCTGCGTCTAAGTCAAAAGCGCAATCTCCTTGCGAATCTATTCTGCGTCGGCGTTGCCAGTAACAGCACTCTCAAGCTTCTTGAGCGCCGCACGATACGCCTTCTTCTTCCCATCCGCCGTAACAGCACTCTCCTTCCACTCCATCCTCTTAACCTTCTTACCCCCCCTCTTGATCCCATCCCCCTTAGCCACCTGCTTCAAAAACCACGCCGCCTCCGTCTTCGTAAACATCGTCCAAGCCTCACCCGGTTTACCCGCACGCGCCGTCCGGCCCACGCGGTGCACATAACTCGTAATACTGGTAGGAAGATCGTAGTTGATCACGTGAGTGATATCAGGGATATCCAAACCGCGGGACGCGGCGTCGGAGGCGATGAGGATCTTGGTGGCGCCGGAGCTGAAGGATTTGAGCAGTTTGCGGGAGGCGTCTGCGGTGAGGGCGCGGGTCATGGTTTTGATGTGGGTGGCGAAGAGGGGCATGAGGGCGCTGAGGAGATGGGATAGGCGGGATGCGCTTTCTGTGCTTTTGGTGAAGATGAGGACGCGGCCGGTTTGTTGGGATATGATTGCGCGGCTTTCCGAGTCGGACTCAGAGTCGCTGTCTGAGGATGAACCGGAGTCTGAAGAGTCTGAAGAGCCTGAGGAGTCTGAAGATGGCTTTGACAGTTCCAGCGTGCCCGGGTAGACGTAGTTGAGTAGTACGTATAGCAAGTGCAATGGTTTGTTTGAACCATCGCCGACATGTACTGCGAACTCCTCTAGCGTAGACGGCAGCTCGAATACATTTTCTTCTGTCTCCAGTGGTTGGAGTTCCGTAGTCTCGTCTTGTACGACTACCAACTTCGGTCGCTTCAGCTTGAGAGTGCCCAGCTTCGTGAGATCCTTTTCCATTGTCGCGGAAAGGACAACCTTGGTGAGTTGCCTGCGGGCGGGCAATGCCATGGACCAGATGGAGTTGGCGTCGCGCTCGCGCTTTCGTATCCGCTCTTGGCCGTTCATGAAGTCGACCGGAGTCTCACCGTGGAGGGCGTCCATGAGCACGGTTGCCCAGCCCTGGAAGTTTTGATTCAAAAGCTGATCAGCCTCGTCGATGACAAGCCAGCGCACGCTGTTCAGCAGAAAGCCTGTTGTGTGCTCGATGTGCTCAACTAATCGACCAGGAGTGCAGATGAGAATATCCACGCCCGAATCATATTGTGGAACGTGATCGAGAGGCATGGCTCTCAAGTCGTCGTACAACCCTCCTCGCTCCATGAAGCCTGTCTGATATTGTCGAGAAGCCTTCTCCTGCAGCTCCTGTGCTCTCCTTGGGTCGTATTGCGGTCGCATCTTGACGAGCTGCTTCTGCTCTGTCGCAAACGCGACATTGCCCAACGCTGTTCCTACTTTGATCTTTGTTCCAGCGCACAGATCCTCGGCGACTTGTAGGGCTTGGTTGACGAGCTGCCGGCTTGGTACTACGACGATGGCGGATAGGACAGGTACGGTACGGTCTTTGAGCGCTTCGATAACAGGGAGTAGATATGCTAGCGTCTTTCCAGAACCAGTCTTTGCCGACACACATATATCGCCCAAGTGTTGGTCAAAGCCGGGATGTAGCAGAGGTAGCAACGCAGTCTGTACCGCCAAAGCGTCCTTGAAGCCTTGTTTTTCCAGCTTCTTGACATACTGGGAATCTACACCCAATTCGGCGAACGGGACTGTTTTGGACGCTTCGACGGTAGTAGGCTGCGCGAGCCAGGTGGGAAGGGTGGAGAAGGTGGGTTCGTAAACGGGCTCGGGAATCGGTGCGGGTTGCGGCATAGGCTCGAGGTCATGAAGCTCTCCTGCCTCTTGCGGATCCTTCGCAGGTTCCTCCTCTGCATTTTGACTCTTGGCTTCAGCTAGCTTCGCTGCCTTTTCGAATTTGGAGAAGACATTCTTGTGCTTCTTCGATATCTCATCATCCTCCTCTTTGGCGGCCTCAGCTTCGCGTTTTCTCTTTTTGGGCTTCTTGATGGTCTTTTTCGCCTCTGTTACCGGACTGTTTTCTACGGGCTCGGGACTTGAGGCAGCGACTTCTTCATTCGTAACAATTACAGGGCTGGAGGCCTTTGCGACAACGGGCGCGGGAGGTGAAGGCTGCTTCTTGGCGACAACCGCGGGTGGCACATAACGTCTTTGGAACATGATATAAGGGATCCTGCGCGATTTCCAGGTTGCGATAGCTTAGAGTGAAGCCTGGAGGGATTCGCGACAGATGCGACAGGCGGATGGTGAGTTTAGAAAATCTATGGACCCTGGAAATTTAGTCGGAGTTCCAGCCACGCCAAACGCCGACGGTGACGCGCCCACGCCGAGGCCCTGAGTTCGCGACAAAGCAGGTGCTCCCCGCCAGATACACCCATGGTACCTTTCAATTGCGCCCAGGCTTGAGCGCCATGTATCCTTCTGAGCAGACTCGAGGTGTCAGTCCTCACAATCCGCCATCATGCCGTACAATATTGCTATGGTCAGCGACAATTTCTACCCTCAACCCGGTATGCACCTAGCCGCGTCTTGAGACTCGGCGCAGTACTCATCAATCGTAGGAGGAGTCGAAAGTCACATGTACCAACTGTCCAGTGTAGGTCCCCATTACTAAGTCCCACTGTATTCACACCTAACATCTCCAGAAACTCATCGACCGCGGCCACAAAGTAATCGTCATAACACACGCCTACGCCGGCCGGACTGGCGTTCGCTACCTGACCAACGGCCTGAAAGTCTACTACGTCCCTTTCTGGGTTATATACCGCGAAACCACCTTTCCGACCGTCTTCTCCTTCTTTCCCATATTCCGAAACATCGTCATCCGCGAAAACATCGGCATCGTACACGGCCATGCTAGTCTCAGTAGTCTGTGCCACGAGGCGATTCTGCATGCGAGGACTATGGGGTTGAGAACCGTCTTCACAGATCACAGTCTCTTTGGATTCGCGGATGCGGGAAGCATACTCACGAACAAGCTTCTCAAGTTTACCCTGAGTGACGTGGACCATGTTATCTGCGTTAGTCATACTTGGTATGTCTCCATTGGTACTCTCTCAGGGCTGGCAGCTGCTAACACATTGTAGCAAAGAGAACACCGTCCTTCGAGCCTCGCTAGACCCTCTCATGGTCTCTGTCATACCCAACGCGGTCGTTGCAGAGAACTTCCGTCCTCTATCCCACGATTCGGTCGATTCAAAAGATACAAAGAAGGCGCCTGGTCCGCGGCAACCAATGGGCCCTGATGAGATTATCACCGTCATTGTCATACAACGGCTATACTACAACAAGGGCACCGACCTGCTAGTCGCTGCTATACCCCACATCGTTGCTGCGAACCCAAACGTTCGCTTCATCATCGCTGGCAATGGGCCAAAGGCTATTGATCTCGAACAGATGATCGAGCGCAATGTGTTGCAAGACAAGGTTCTCATGATCGGTCCAGTCCGTCATGAAGAAGTGCGAGATGTCATGGTACGGGGCCACATCTACCTCTGCCCCTCATTGACAGAGGCTTTCGGAACCGTCATTGTGGAAGCTGCATCATGTGGGCTTTACGTCGTAGCAACCCGGGTTGGAGGTATCCCTGAAGTGCTGCCCACCCACATGGTTGAATTCGCGGCACCCGAAGAAGACGATCTTGTCGTAGCAACAGGCCGTGCCATCGCCAAACTACGAGCTGGAAAGGTCAGAACCGAGCTCTTCCATAACCAGGTCAAGCAGATGTACTCCTGGACCGACATTGCGCAGCGAACAGAGAGAGTCTACGACGGCATTAGCGGCGTAATCAGTCACAGCGATTTCTACCAAGGCGCAGGAGCAGCTGGCGCATGGAGTGCCACGCGTGGTCGTGCAGGAGTGCAAAGTTTCGCTCTTATCGAGCGGCTGAAGAGATACTTCGGTTGCGGCATCTGGGCAGGCAAGCTCTTCTGCATCTGTGTCATCGTCGACTACCTCATCTACCTCGTTCTGGAAATCTTCGCACCCAGATCACGCATCGACATATGCTATGATTGGCCTAAGAAGGTCATGCAAGCGAAAGGAGAAGTCAACAAGCTGTTCGTACCCGAAATCGACCCTGAAAAGGGAACTTTACTCCGAAAGAGAAGCTCGAGGCATCGAAAACCGAAGAGAGAGGAACCAGAGGATAGTTGAGACACAGGGCAAAGACATCACTTGAAAAGAGCGAGACGATGACGTGTCAGCGGCTTTTGTGATTTGAATATTACGATTACTGTTCGCCCAACTATGAGCTATGAACAGAGAATCGCGGAGAATGGTATATGCCAACTACTAATCGAAGCCCGTATCCAGATAGGCTTACTATGCTCCTGCCGGAACGCTGAACCGGGTACTCCCCATTCCTGTGCCCCCAACGCCGATGAAAATGCTTTGTACAAGGAGAAAAAAACGGGAAAGAAGATGTCAACAACACAGCTAAGTCGCCATGACTTAAGCGTAAAACCAGTACTGCGCACTGTACTCGACCGTAAAACTGCCCTCAATCCCACTGCAGTCCTTAGGCGCCATACCACCCGCAGTGTGTATCCGGTAAACCTCGTTGTACGCCCAAGCTGCCTGACCCTCAGCCGTAACCGTAGCGTTCAACTTGAGCCACGGCACACTACCCAGACCATTCGTTCCCTTGGTCGCAGTCGCGGGCGCAGCGCTCTTCGCATTAACAGCGCACTCCACACGACCGAAATCGTTCTTGTCGGTCTCAAGCATGAAGAGAGGGACGCCGGCGGCGGTGAACTGGTGGTGCCCACTGAGACGCTGGTCTGCCTCTGCGGACGTGGGGATCGCGTAGTTGAGTGCGAGGTCGGTGACTTGGCCAAGGATGTTCACGTTGAGGCGGGCAGCGTCGCAGGTCGCGTTGAAGAGCGTGGCGATGGCGCCGGTGGCTTTGGGGATGGTGGAGGAGGAGGAGTCGGCGCAGGTGTAGTTTTGGGTGCCCCGGCCGATGGCGATGTGTCGGAGGGATGTGCCTTTTGCGGGCGCGGCGAGGGGGGTGGGTGCTGGGGCGTGTTAATATGGGTTGTTTCTTGGATGGTTGGTGGTGGGGATGGGGGGACGTACCAGCAGGGAGAGCAACGTTGGAAAGATCACATAGTGAGTCTGTCTTCAACAACTCCTTGTAGATGACCGCGGGGATGTCCCGCCTTGGGATCAAAGCTGCTATCGAGTCGACGGTCTGGCTGGGAGCGGCGAAGATGGTGGCTGGTGCCAGGGCCAAGACGAGGCTGAGGGTGTTGGTGAAGATCATGGTTGGGATGTCTTGGGTGTAATATAGATCTTGATGCAGAGTAGATTGCCGAGTCGAAGTCTTGGATGCTTGTGTGATGTTCGAATAGAGTGCGACCGTCTCGATGTTTATACCAGAAAACCAAGCGTATTTCAAGAATCCAGTGTAAGCCTTGCCGCCGGTATGATAGTATTCCGGGAATAGATTGTTGTTGCTGAGCTATTGTAAGACTCGGAAGCGATGAGATCCGTAAGATGAATAAAACGGTCCAAGCGAAATGAAACAAACGTCAGAAATAACCCTCAAGGAAAGAAGCCCAAAGGAAAGTACGCGACGACGACGAAAGCGGGTCTCTTGTAGAGGGAAGTGAGATGTTGTTGTGTTGATGGAGTGTGTGAGTGGAAACCGTCAACGAGGCCGTGTATGCCATGTTCCTATATACACAACGTACCCATCGCGCTACACTACGAAACGAACCAGTTTTTGCGCCATCGCTATCCTACTCCCAGCGCGTAGTGCCCGCTCCACACAACAGACTACTCGCGCACAAAGTCTGCGAAGCCGAGCAACCGTTTACCGCCGTGTCCCACTCGCCCTTCCAGCCACTGCTTTCGCTCGCTTTGCTCGATTAGTCCGCTAATGCAGGCAAGGAAAAGACCCCAAATATAGCTGGCGGGGGTGTGATAGGCTCACAGCGTTTCGTGCAAGATGGGAGGGATGGCAGGTGTGTTGTGGTTCGCTGCTCTGCCGAGCGCGCCTGGGGGTGGTCAAGACGGCCGCTAGCCGGGTTTGGGGGTTAGTGCTGTAAACGCCCGTGGGGATCGGCTGGCGAGATGGCTATTTTGGGGATTGCGACGGGAGGGGGTTGGTAATTTGGTGATGGGGTAGAGGGTTAAGGTGCTGATGCGAGATGGAGATGGAGATGGGCAGATCTGTGATCGTCGGGAGGGGTGCTTGATGATGTGCTGATGGGAGGTGGAGGTTTGGAGTTGGGGCTGTGTTGTGGGTGTGTGAGTATAGATAGTTGATGATTGATGTTGAAGTAAGACGGATGTCGCCCGCCTTCCTGCGCTGAGTTTGGAAACCTCACGGACATGTCTTGCCAGCGCCAGCAAGACTCGAGTCTGGCAGGTTGGAAATCAGCACGCGATCAGAACTGGCTACCTACCTACTACAGTACAGTGCAAAACCAAGAACCCTCACAAACTTCTACAATCAAGCCCATCAACCGCCCTCTCCACACCCAGTCCTTCCACTTTCCTTCCCTCTTCCCTCCATCTCCTTCAACCACTTCTACCACCCACTACCCGCAGAGCCGCCCGTCCTACACCTAGTCACGCAATCATCAGCTGGCAAGTACCCAAGCTACCACATGCCCTAGTACCATTACCCTGTACCCACCCGTCGCTGGCGTCGCTGGTCGCAGATACCCACCTGCACCTTCCCGCACCACCAAACCAGATGTAGAAGGTACAAATACCGCAAATAACCCCACCTCCACAGAAAAAGACTATTAATACACACTGCATGCAGCGACGGGAAGGTGAAAGAAATGACAGCTAATATACCTCATCCAGCTACTCACAGGGATAAGGTGGAGGTTGGCCAATGAGAGACCAGAACGGGCCTGGACAGGGCTCCAGGCGCTAGCATCCTCGAACGATATCTCGGCGCTTCGCTATTGGCAGCCAGCGGCCGGCGAACAGGTCTCTGGTTTTCTCGACTGGCATTGTGGATTGGATGGTTGTATTTGGCTCGCTGGTCACTGGCCAGACATACCAATGTCGTGCAGGTGGATTGGGCAGATGGGTAAGCGGGGATCTTTGTTTGACATTCCGCTCTTGCATGGCCGTTTTCCCGGTTTCTGTTCCTCGATACCCATTTCGTTGGATGGCAGTGCTCGAGAGCGGTTCTGCTAGAAGAACCAAGGAAGCTGGAGGATGGAAGCGTGTCGCCATCTGTGTTTCTATCGATTCATGCTATTCTAGTGGTTTTCCTGCTGGTTGTAGGAACGAGGTGGGAGGAATCGAGATGGAAGGATTATGAAGGGATGGCGTGTCGCCATGTGTTTTTTGAGATGGCCACTCAGATGCCCTGAGGGCAGTACGCTGTCGGCTATACATAACCGCGAGACGTCCTTCGCGCTTGCGAATGGTTTGCCACTTTTGCGTTGTTTGGAACGATGTCTTGCTGTTCTTTCCAGTTCTGCCAATCTAGGTCACAGGATAAGGACGAAGAAACCATGGACCTGTATGGACACGGCTTTCCGAGATGATTCGTTGCGCTCGGGTAGCATCTGCCAGCCGCCGGCGGGTGGTCGAGATACCGATGCGCTGCGATATCAAAATGGTTACACAACAGTGGTTTTGACATGCGGTAGGCTCTAGGTCGGCATGTCCAATCTTTGCTAATCAAAGTGTGCTAAGGAATGTCATATGCATATGCTGTACTGGTTCTGCTTTCGTTATGAAGCCTATCAGTAGACTATTTGGAGGATGCTCGACATGGGGTCCATATTGATCGACTGTCACTGTACCTCATGCTACAAGGAATATCAAGTCGAACAAGGCACCTCAGTTCTGTAAAAAGATCCCAGCGCCTATATTCAGATCCAAAATCCCACAGTGATCGCTGATCATCGATCCCTTTCTCGATCGACGTGAGACTTATAGAATTGTTGGAGGAAAGGCTCTTCAAATGGCCGCTTCTGAGTCTCCAGGTACAGCAAAGGCTTATCATTGTCGCTGTGCCATGGACGGGATAGTAGGGACTGGCGAGGTTGATAACATCAAATTATTCATCATTATTATCAGTGATAATCCTGATGAATAATTTGATGTATCATCGCCGCCAGTCCCAAGCCCCCAAGGCACATACGTACACAATAGCAACCTTCACCCACCCGAAACCCATCCTAATAATACACCCCATCCCTCACCCCTCAACTAGTCCCATCATCCTCATTATGCCACACCCCGGGGTCCTCAGGCCCAGGAACCGGTCCACCAGGCACACTCGGCCCCGCCACAACCGCCGCGCCCCCAGCAGCCCCCGCCTCAAAGCTAAACAAGAAATAAAACACCATAAAATGCAGCGCAAGCAGGTACCCCGCAAAGATATTCCGACTCGTCCTCGTCTGAAGCACAAATTTAGTAACGCGCAGAACCATGCGTTCAAAGAGGTGCATGCGCTTCATTGCGCGAGCGCTCTCGCGGCCCCGGAACGCAGCGAACGGACTGAGGTTTGACTCGTAGGCTGAGCGGTATTTGGTGTCGACTGTTGACCCACCTGTGCCTCCGGAATCGATGTTGATGGCCGAGGGATTGGGGTTTGCGCCGTAACTTGAGGCGCTGGAGGCGGGGCCTCTGTTGACTGCGTTGTAACTGCTCACATATCTAGTTTTCTCGTAGAGGTCTAGGTTGTCTTTTTGTAGCGCGCCTATCTCGCTTCTGAGGGAGGAGACGGTTTGGTACGACTTTTGCAGTTCGGCTTCGAGCTCCGAGTTGCGCTTCTTGAAGCGGTCGCGTTGGGCGGTTATCATGGGGAGGATGCCGGAGCCGCCGCCCATGGGTTCTCCTCCTCCTCCTCCTCCGGCACGTAGAGAGGCTAGGGTGGGTGCTTGCGACGAGTTGTCGAAGCCGGAGATTATGGAGGATGTGGGTGATGAGCGGCCTCGTCGTCCTCCGCCGAAGGAAGATTGCGGGTAACGCGATACGTAGGTTCCTGCAACGGACATGCCTGACGGGTCGAAGGCGTTTGTGGCTTCTTGTTGGACTTTCTCCAGATCGGCTTCTAGAGTCTCGTTGAGTTGGCGTGACTTTTCTAGGTCCATGTTTGTGTTTGAGAGCTCTTCTTGTAGAGCTTCTAGCCTGCTGTGCAGGTCTTGGTGTGAGACGCGCATAACGGTGAGCTCGTTACTGAGCTTCTTGTTGCGAGCGAGTAGGAGCTGCTCCAGTGTTTCGCCTTTGCCCTTGCCGGATGTGCTGTTCTGCGAGAGGGCGATCTCGGTGGCTTCGTCGTCGTCATCGCCTGTTGCGAATTCGATTGACTACCGCAAATTAGCTTGGGCTCAACAGTATCAAGTGAAGAGCCTACCTTTAGCACTTCCAACTCCTGCTTCACGTTCTCATAGTCGCCCCATTTCTGCACCTTCTCGCGAAGAGCCTCCTTTTCACTCCTCAGCGACTTGATCTCCCGTTCCAAGCTTCGTGTCTCTGTCTCGAGCCGTGTTCGTTCGGAGTCCTTTTCGAAGCGCGCATTCTCGAGCTTTCGCAGGAGTGATGAGTTCTCGGATCGTAATCGCAGGAAGGCCGGATCGTCTTCAACCGCAACCTGTTGCGTTGGCGCAGATGCAGACTGGGCCAACTCGAGGCGTAGTTGCTCGTTCCGTGCTGTGATTTCTGCCAGTCGGTGGCTTGTTCGCTCGAGCTCTGAGCTAACGATCTCAAGCTCCGCCGCAGTAGCACCGCGACCGCCTTCTTCTTCAGACGCTTCACCCTGACCCAGTCGCTGTGAGACCTCGTAACTGGCCTTGAGCTCCTTCAACAGTCGGTCCTGGTTCTCGACCTTCTCTTCCAGGCTCTTCTCCTTTGACTCCCAGTTGTCCTGCTTCTCGTTCAGCACAGCCGACCATGACGCTTCCACGTCTTTGATCTTGCTGTCTCGGCTGTCCTCGAGGGCTTTCCGTGCCGTCCGCTCCTCCTCCAACTTCTTGTCTGAATCGTCGAGTTGTGTGGTGAGTTTCGCCACCGTTTTCTGTAGGCGCTCGTTCTCAGACGTGAGCTTTGGCACGAGTTCTTCGGAGGTCACAAGCGAGTCGACGGAGGCTTCGAGGAGAGGATATGGGTCGGGTGCTTCAGAGAGCGGCGAGTAGACTTGGAAGAAGGCAGCCTGTACCGTCTTGGACTGGTTGGATATAAGATCAATGAAATTCTGGTATGCTGCGAATCTGGCTTAGTAGAGCTCAGTCAGCTGCGCGAGTGGAGGCTTACACTTCAAGAGGCCCTTGATGTCGCTGAGCTTGCTTGCATCGTCGAGTTTCCGAAAGTCTTTGGTCTTCTGCGCGAGGTCCTTCCTTTGGGTGAGAGTGTCTCTTTGGTGTGCGACAAGATCCGAGGCTACCGTGTCGAGCTGCGGAATGAGAGTGGTGAGGTCGATGTCTGGCGCATTGTTAGCCTAGTCGTATCATACGCGTCACGGGAATTCGCACTTCTCCATGCGCCGATCGCCTTTTGGAACTTGTTCCCCTCTTCTTGCTCTTCTTCTGCGACTGGTTCCTGCCTCTCGGCACTGGGTGGAGTCTCGACCCTCTCATCCATGTCTACTCCGCCCTCCATGGTTGCGCTTCAGTCTGTATCCGTGGCTGCAAGTGAGAGAGACGTGTAATTGAAATCCGAAAGTACTGCGATGTCTCGCGGCCTTGTCGTAGTCTGCTCCCAGAAGCCTTCACGGCGCGTTGTGAATCATGGAATGGAGTTGGTTACGTATGCACCCAGCTTGCCGTGAAACCGCGGAAGGTGCGGCGTTGGGCGGCCCTAATTGGTGGACTGCCGCCATGAGAGCTCACCAGGCACCACGAGCGCACATCCAACACGCACCATGCGCGCCTCTTACACTCCGCTGCCATAGCCTGCCATGGCGCATATGAAGGTTGAGAACAATGGCAGACGCACCTTCCCAACCGCCCGCGACACGGCGCCCGCCCCCGCAAGACGGCCCCTACATCCTCCGCAAGCTCGTCGCAAACCTCCCGCTGTCCGCTGACGGACCATCTACTGACGTGCGCATCACGTGTGTAGAGGTGTGGAACGGCAACCTCTATGTTGGCACCTCCGCCGCCGAGATCATCCACTTCGTCCTCCTGCCGCCCGAGACCGACGATCCCTCCGAAGAGCCCACGGCCATCATCGCCTCGCGACTAGAACCGCCCCATAACGACAGCAATGGGCCCGGTGTGCAGCAGATTCTCCTGCTCCCCAAGATCAGCAAGGCCTGTGTGCTGTGCAACAATACCCTCTCCATATACTCGCTACCCGAGCTGAGCCCCGACTCGACTTTCAAGCCGATAGGATGTCTGTGGGTTGGAGGTGTCGACTTGAACGACGACATCGAAGGTTCTGCTGAGGATGGCGTAGTAGTCGTCATCGGCCTCAAGAAGCGCCTGCGACTGGTGCAGATATCCGAGAACTCGCCCCCGAAAGCGATCAAGGCGATTGAATACGGAGGCTGTCTGGTCTCTGTCCGCCGAGACACGTTCTCATGCGCTGCTGATGCGCATTCATATGCCCTGTTGGACGTTGTACATCAACAGAAGATAGGCCTGTTTCCAATCTCTTCCTTGGATCCAGACGCCGGCGACATTGGCGGAGCCGCTGAGCATCTGGCGACTGTGCCAAATGCGCCATCTAGGAGCGTTTCCTCCGCTTCGCATCCACAAACTCCCGAGGAGCACCGCGGCCATTCTCGAAGTACAAGTTTGAATGTGCTTGGGCTAGGCGGTCCTTCAAGAACAGCAAGCCCACGGGCTCCGGCTCAACGCTATGGTTTCGACGTGCCCCAATCACTTTCTCGCGACATGTCACCGGCTCCGTCACGCTCGCCTGGCCGAGCCGCCATGGGAGGAGAAGGCGAAAGAGCGTCTAGCCAGTCTCGAGGCGGCGCAACTTCACCCGATAAACCTTTACCACCAGCTCCAACCGAAGAGGAGAGACCACAACCTGAAGAGCCACAGGTTCCACAACCGCCGCCCTTCATTCCTTTGAGACCCCACGTCGCATCACCAAATCCGAACGAGTTTCTGTTGACAGTCGGCACTACACCTTCCGACCAAGGAGTCGGCATGTTCGTAAACCTCGATGGAGATATGTGCAGAGGTAGCATACAGTTCAGTAGCTATCCTGATGCGATTGCTGTAGACGGCGCGGGCATAGATTTCTCGGCCTCTATGGGTCAAGGCATGAACTCTGAGGAAGGTTACGTCTTGGCAGTTGTACATCGAGAGGCGGAAGGTAGTATTACCTACGGAGTTGAGATTCAGCGATGGGATGTTGATCCTAGTGCTGGAGAAGTTGACAAGCACTGGCTCAACTTCAGCCCACTCGGTCTGCCAGTTCAGACCAAAGGCTCACATATCTCGACGCCTATAGGTATGCGCACTGTAGTGCAGCCTTACGATCTAGTAATTTCGGAAGTAGGCGCGAAACTAACCGTCAGGAAGTTGCAGCTTGCTTCATCTGAGGGAGCAGCGAAAGAGTCCAATGAAGTCGAAAAGCGCCAAGCAAATGCGGACCGCGAGTTTGCGGAGCGCCTGTCCAAGTTACAGTCACAGACTGTCGTCTGGGCCGGAGACCAGATATGGTGGACAGTACGAAACCCTCTAGTGACCCGATTGGATTCACGAATCGAAGCAGCCCAGTATGCGCTTATTGGAGATGCGACCCGCATCCAGCCTGACAGAAGAGTCATAGAAACCATCTTAGGCGATATCCGCGGACAAGAGCCGCGCAACGAGTCTGAATACCTTAGTCTCATATATATTCGTCAAAAGGCCTCGCTCATGCTCTTCATGGACGTGGTTCTACGTACCAAAACGAACATCATCATATTCGAAAACGAGAAGCGTATCACCGAACAAGCGCTCATCGAAGGTGAAATAGATCCTCGGGTTGTCCTGAGCCTAATGCCGATTCTCGATCAAGAAGTCGTCCAGGGCTCAGACGGCATACAAATATATGGCGGCATCACAACGCTGGTGGAGCACTTCTTGCAACAAAACAATCTCTCGACCATGCCAACGAATGTCAATGGTCCCTTTGGTGACAATCTGTTGCATTTCGTAAAGCGGTACCTTCAATTTTGGAAGAAGCGAAAAGGCATGGCAAGTGTAACAAACGATCCGACCGTGTTCAAGACTGTCGATGCAGCATTGCTTCACATACTCCTACTACTAGATCAAGGGAGTCCAAAGGGTACTTCCAGCCCTGGTGCTCACCGAGCAGAACTCTACGAACTGGTGGACAAAGAAGTAGAGTGCTTCGACCGTGCTGTTGAGTTATTGGAGCAATTCAAGCGTCTCTTCCTACTCAGTCGCTTATACCAAGGCAACTGCAAGGCTTCCGTCAAGGCGTCACATGTGCTAGCGACCTGGAAACGGATCTTGGAAGGCGAGGAAGACAAAGGAGGCGAACTTGTAGATGGCGAGCATAAGGTGCGCGACTACCTACGGAAGATTCGCGATCAAGCTCTGGTAGAAGAATATGGCGCATGGCTTGCGAATAGGAATCCAAAGCTGGGTGTTCAAGTCTTTGCGGACGATCAGAGTAGAGTCAAGTTTGATCCTACTCGAGCTGTCGCTCTACTAAGAGACAAGGCGCCAGGCGCTGTCAAAGAGTACCTGGAGTATCTTGTCTTCGGCCAGAAAAAGGTAAGCCCCTCCGCACATTTTTACTCGCTCTACTAACACCGTCCCCAGCACCCAGAGTACGTAAACGAACTCATAGCATTCTACCTCTCCACCGTAATCACCGAACTCGAAAGCACCCCCTCATCCCGCGCCACCCTCTCCCAAAGCTACGAAACCTACCGCATCCTCGAACCCCCAAAACCAACCTACTTCTCCTTCATAACCGACAACGCGCTCGACGCAGAATGGTGGCACGCCCGCATCCGCCTATTGCAACTCCTCAGCGAAACCTCGTCCTACGACGTACATACCGTTCTATCCCGGCTGCAGCTCTACAGCCAGGAACTAGTCTCCGAAATGATCATCCTAAACGGCCGGCAAGAGCGCCACGAAGAAGCGCTGAAACTGCTTACACACGGTTTGGGCGATTACAACACAGCAATAAGCTACTGCCTCTACGGCTACGCATCCATCCACCGCCGCGCCACCCCCGGCGCACCACCCGTGTCGCACAGCCAGATCCCCACACGGTCAGAACAATCACGCATGTTTGGCCATCTCCTCCGAGAATTCCTTCAGATAGAAGATCTTTCGCAGAGGGTGGAGCGCACCTCTGAACTCCTCGAGCGGTTTGGCGGGTGGCTTGATGTTGCCGATGTGTTGGCTATTGTGCCCGATGAGTGGAGTGTGGATGTTTTTAGCGGCTTTTTGATACAGGCGTTGAGGAAGTTGGTGAGGGATAAGGCGGAGAGTGATGTTGTGAGAGCTATGAGCGACGCTCAAAACAGTCAGACAAGTAACGAATTAGTGGAGAAGAGGGAGGAGGGAGGGCCGCAGTTTGAGAGGGTGGAAGGAGATCTGGGGAGGAATGATGGGGTTGTGTAGGGTATAGCGTTCAGGTTGTAGTCGGGTAGCTTTAGCTGTGCGAAGCTAGCACGGGGTGTTTGGGAACTACAACTGTACTACGATTCCATCAACTGGCGTCCCGGCTTGTTTACGCTCGATCTTCAGCACTAGCACATTCATCATGATAGCATGTGGCATATACAGCATCACTCAACCGCGTCCTGCCCGCGCGTAATTTTTGCACCAACTAGTTAGTTACGTCGATCAAAAATAGATGGCGATTTTGTGCAGTTTGAAGAACTGAAAGAATGTTTTGATGCATAGTTCTGAAAGCCCACTCAACACCGGCTCGCGCCTGCCTCGCGACGGTCTTGGCATTCTCACACTCGGAGGCACGAGCAACGCCGGAGCATAGCCACCGACGTCTCTCACTTCTCTTGCTTACTCAACTCAACTTCATTTCGATTTCATCACCCAGACAGCACTCACAATCGCTTGCTCACATCATGCAGCGCCGTATGGTGAGTGCTATCAATTTTTGCATCGTGTTCCCCGAATTGGCGCTAACGGTGGCAGCTCACGAAAGATGAAGAGGCCTCAGCCCAAAGCGAGGATCTAGAGGTGCGCCGCGAAGATCAAGAGAAGATCAACAAATTCAGTTCTCTGCATCAGAAAGAAGAGCTTCTGGAAGAGGAGCTGAGGGCAAAGATTGTATGATTCAAACCGCCGCATTCGGTCTGCACTCGGTCTAACAATAGCGCAGAAGGAGAAGGAAGACCTGGAGGAGATCTCAGGCGAACTCGAGCTAGTTGATGAAGAGGAGAAAGTACCGTAAGTTCTCTGCGAACAGCTGCAAATCGGCTTCTCATCTTAATATGACCAGAGTATCAATAAGCTGATCACAACCCACAGATACAAAGTCGGCGATTGCTTCGTCTCATTACCCCAACCCCAGGTCCTTGAGCTTCTGAGTTCATCAACAGAGACCATTGACAGCGAGGTAGAAGCTCTCAAGGCCAAGCTAGAAGGTATCCAAGAAGAGATGGGAGAGCTGAAGAAGGCACTCTACGGCCGCTTTGGTCGCAGCATCAACCTCGAGACATAGGCGATGCATACGCTGTAGACTTGCAGCGATAGTTCGCCGACGGAGATACATGCAACAAGAATCGAGAATCAACACACGTCCCAGTCTGAAATCGCATTCCGAGATGGATCGAATTCCGAATCGGCGTTCCACAATTCCTAACGCATACCGTCGGACTTTACTAATCCGCAGACCGAAGACATGGTAATCTGAGTCAAACGCGCATTCCCTGCCTTGCAAAACGAAAGAAGATAACGTACGTGACTCATTACAGGTCAATTATCAAACAATGCACCGAGTTCCACTTGGAGAGCCGCGCATCGGTAAGTTTGCCGATGCATAATAACGTCTTGTTCCCCGTCGGGCCTCGTAGGGCGCACGCAGCTAAACGGTACCCGTCATGCATTCGTAAGTTAAGCCCCGCCTACTCTGCATGCGGTAACGGCTACGATCGACAAACCAGGTAGACGTGCAGCCACGAAAATTATTGATCAGGGGAATTGTGGCGCCTACTTAAACACCTCGGATGCTAATCCACAAGTGCGCGGGGTCGCGCAGTATACTACCCAAGTTCTAGTCTGTTACTACCCGTTTTCGTTCTCTAACTGCATTCGCAAAGTCATCCGTTTTGCTTCTTTGAACCTCAAATTGCTGGAAAGCAAGGCGCGTCATCCTTACGGGTAATCATTTCAGCATGGAGAGTGCAGATCTGGAACGAACTTATTCCCGGGAACAACAAGGCTTAGGGCCGGGTCATGAGGCCATTACCTCACCAGTCGCTCTTGTCCGCAGTTTTACTTCGAAGAGTCAGAGAAGTACGACGAGTCGACAGAGTTCAAGAAATCGCTGTACGCATAACTTCGTCTTACTGCGATGTTGGGGGTGTGGGTTACTAACGGGTCAACATAGCCGGTGCTATAGAGAGCTCGCGTGCTGCGCGACTGAGGGAACTTGAGAAAGATGCTGGCACATCTGACGATACGGAGAAGGAGGATGCGATTGAGAAAGTTGCGTCGAGAACACCTTCAACGCTGAGTTCGCATGGACGGTCGAATTCACCGTCGCCGGCGTCGAGTGTCCACGATGAGCACACGAGTGGGAGACGGGTTATCCGCTTTGAAGATGGAGACCCTGAGAATCCTAACAATTGGGGGCGTGTGAGTTGAACAATGGAAAAGTGATTCGAAGAAGGACTAACAAGTATTCCAGTGGAAGAAGATCTACGCCCTCGTCGTTGCTATCATGAGTGGTAAGCCACCCTAATCCTTCTTTTGACAACTCAGCTGAACCAGACAAAGTGATGAACAGCACCATGACCTCCAGCCTAGCAGCCGGAGCCACGGCTCCAATATCTCGCCATTTCAACCAAACCAACGAATATGCGCTCATCCTCCCCACATCCATGTATCTAGTTGGCTACGCATGCGGCCCCATGCTCTGGGGCCCTCTCTCAGAATCCTACGGCCGCAAAGGAACCATGGTGATATCCTTTGCCTTTTTCACAATATTCTCCATCGCTTCGGCGCTATCACCAAACTTCGCTTCGCTCGTCATCTTCAGGTTGTTGGTGGGCGTGGGAGGGAGTTGCGCGATTAGTGTTGTCGGCGGGATATGTGCGGATATCTATCACAATCCTAAGTATCGGGGGAGGAGTATGGCGATTTTCATGGTATGTGGCTCCTATCCCCTTCCTCCTAATGGCCTCTAGCAGAAGGAAGGAAACCTAATCAGAGTATAACAGGCAGCAACAACATTCGGACCCATCCTCGGACCCCCAATATCAGGCTTCATCAGCGTAGTATCCTGGAGCTGGGCCTTTTGGATCGGAGTCATACTTGCCGGAGCAACATGGCCGCTCTTCTACTTCTTCGACGAAACATACGGTCCCACTATCCTAAAGCGGCGCGCGAAGCGACTACGCAAGGAAACGGGTAATGAGAATATCATCGCGCCGCTCGAACTAGAGAAGACGGATTTGAACCACATCGTCACCGTCATTCTGACCCGGCCACTACGCATGATCTGCTTTGAACCTCTTGTACTTTTCACGTGCTTGTATCTAAGCTACGCCTGTAAGCCAACCTTCCCCTACCATCCCTGCACAAAGCCATCTCCTTACTAACCCCCACCCCCAAAGATGCCATATTCTACATATTCCTACAATCCTACCCCATAATCTTCACCGGCATCTACCACTTCAACGCTGGCGAAACAGGCCTCGCCTTCCTCCCCATCGGTGTCGGCGCCCTCATCTCCGCTGGTATTTACTTGTCGTGGGACTGGTATTTGGCCCGCGCCCAACGCCTCAATCGCCCTTGGTCGCGCAACGAAGAGATGCGGAGGCTGCCTCTCGCTTGCATCGCCGGTCCCTTCTTCGTTATCAGCGCGTTCTGGCTGGGCTGGACGAGCAGAGAAGACATCCATTGGATTGTTCCCACGCTCGCAGGGATACTGTTTGGAATGGGATACTTATGTCTCTTCATGGCTCTACTCAACTATCTCGTCGATGCATACGAAGTCTTCGCCGCAAGTGCGATGGCGGCAGCGAGTTTATCACGATCTTCGTTTGGGGCTGTGCTTCCTTTTGCTGCGAAGCCTATGTATAGGACTATGGGCGTGGCTTGGGCGACAAGTTTGCTGGGGTTCTTCAGTCTGGCGCTATGTGTTGTGCCGTTCGTGTTTGTGCGGTGGGGTGGTAGAATGAGAGATCGAAGTCAATTTTGTCAGTATTTGAGGAGGAAGAAGAGGGAGGAGGAGGAGGAACAGGAGAAGGAGAGGGAAGGGTTGAGGCAGAAGAGGGTTATGGTACAGCCTAATGAGTTCAAGGGGAAGGAGGATGTGTAGGGTATGATTAGACCGTGCTGCATGTCTATGCAAAGCTAAACTCAAAGATCATCCAACATATACCCCCTCCTCTTCTCAGGCTGAGCCTTGATGACCCAGCTATGCAGCACAATCTCATGCCACTGCACTCTCTCCGCATTCTGCATACGAAACACCGGCTCCCTCTCAACCACAAATTCTTTGCCTTTCCTAGGCCCAATGCGCGGAAGGAAGAAGCGAAACGAGACCCAATACACAATACAGCATGTCAGCATTATCCACGACAACAAACCCGTCGCGTACCAAGGAAGCCCGGGAATGATGTCGTGAACATCGAGGTCTGAGTATTGAAATGGTGGTATCCAGACTGCGACTAGGGGGAAGCCGCCAGCGATAGCGTAGACCAGAGCAGCGGTGACACTCAGCCAAGTTGGGAGAGGCGATTTGAGAGACCACTTGGTAAAGGTGCGGAGATACAACATGCCGACTGCCATGATGAAGGTAGGAATGATGTCGATGAGGTACACGTATAGGTTTGCGAGAATCCTGTACGCAGACGAGGGCTTCATGGGCCAGGTTACCAGTATGAGAAACACGGCGCATACCCAGTGGAGAAATAACGCGCCTAGCGGAGTGGGCTCAGACTGGCTGGAATGGTGTTTTTCGCGGTATTTGCGAAAGAGAATGCGGTTCTCGCCGAAGAACTTGGCGAATGGTAGGACGCCTTCTTTTGCTATTTCTTGCTTTGCGCGAGCAAGGGTGAATGTCATGCCGATGACGTTGCCGAAGCTGTTGATGGTCGTGAAGATAGCGAGGATTGCAGACGCGTGTTTGGGGCCGATGACATTGTTGAGGAAAGCCAGTGCTACATCAGTTGAGGCAAGCTCTTGCTCTTTGCTAACAACGATCATCTGAGTGCGGTCAGCGCCGGTCTTGAAGATGACGATGGCTACCTACGTAGCTCACATTGACGAGCATGTACAAGATACATATCATTCCGAGAGCGATGATGATGCCTTTGGGGAAGTTCTTGCGTGGTCTGTGGATTTCGCAGAGTATCTGGATATGGATAAGCGGTAGTTCAACGGGACGTAAGCTTCATCAGGCCGATCGAGACTTACATAGTTGGCTTGGTTGTACCCCCCATAGGCGTAAAAGACCGCTAGCATGCCTTGCGTATAGCTGTCGGCGTTTCCGTGCGTCCGCGCAAACGAGTTCTTGTATGCCATATTGGCTGTTGCGTGATTCGTATGCGCGACACCGGCCAATACACATATCGCCATGATGGGGAACACACAAAGAATGGCGATCTTAACAACGACGATGACATTGTTAAGAATGATACCTCCACGTCGAGTGAACGCATGCAAGAAGCACGGAAGCGTTACTGCCATTATTGCGAGACATCGTGCCGCCGCATCCTTGCCTGCACCTCGATCAGTTCCTGGAGAGCCTATTATGTCGTCGCCGAAAGTCAATGCGTTGGCTGCGCTCGAAGCAATGATCACGTGGTTGACTGCGTAGAAGGAAAAGACGAAGAACTTGGGTCGCTTGATGAGGTAGTTCACCTAGTCGCGGTCAGCCGTGTATCAGTGGCAGGCTTGCAGTTCTGCACTCACGTAGTTCATGTCTCCACCATTGCGTACAATCGGCACTCTTTCGCCATCAATTGAATGCCGAGGTGTAGTCAAGCCGAACTCGATGTACAATATAGAACCCGTGATGGCTGCAAGCCCACCGAAAGCCCAAAAGCAAAGCGTGATTCCCGAGCTCTCGGTGACCTGCATAACGGTCCATGGTGTTCGGAATATGCCAGTACCGATGACTTGCTGGAGTATGAAGGCCACTACTGAGAAGAGACCTAGAGGATTCGGCGTGCTTTTCGTAGCGACAACATCTTTGTCGTTCAAAGCCTCGAGGTATGCGCGGTCTTCTTCGTCTAAGCACAGGCTGCGATCTCCCGATTGGACGCTAAATGATTCGTCCATCGTTCGGTACTGAGCATCGATTTGAAGCTGGTGAAGCTCAGGAATCTGGTTGGATAAGTAGTACCTGGCTACAGTAGTGACTGTCCAGCAAGAAGCCGGTAATGGTATCTGAATGACTTATCCCTTGAGTTTCATGCATTAGTTATCACCCGGCAGAAGAGCTAGTCTTCGAAGCCCTTGCTCAGAGTTTTGTTCTTTCCGTCGACTTTCAAAGCCTTCGCACCGCGAAGCTGCGACTCCTTACTTAACGATACTTGCCATGTGAACAGCAGCCACTAACACGAGGTCGCTTCGAAATTCAATAGAAAGCCACTTTGCGTAGGAGTGCAAGGCTAAATCCGAAAGTGAACAAAGCATCGCTTGCCACAGTTGAGGAGATGCAGGGGATGCGCGAGGAAGGGATGCGCGTGTGCCAGATAACGGCAGACAGCTCCTTAGGTATCGTCGTCGGTCCCTAGCCTGCATCTTCTCAAAGCATTGCAACTGTCGGTAACATGCCGTGGGATTTCGGTGTACTCAGCTTTGTTTGCGGTGCCATCAAATTATCGTGGATCATATACGAGAAGGGGTTCACGGAGGAGAAGTCGCTGCGTTTGTCCTCCCAGCCACCCCACCCACGTTCCGCGCTAACCGTATTGTTTTAGCGCGACGGTATCTTGAGTTTGGCGACGCGTTGTTCCGGCTGCACTGGAGTCTCAACACCATCGAATCCATCGTCAGAACCGCGAACACCGGCTTAGAAAACGAAAGGCTCGAGAGCTATGGACCTGAACTATATGATACCACAGCGCTGATCGATATCGTGGGCAACTTCCGCTTGACGCTGGAACAGTGTCAGCAGTTGCTCAATGACGTCAGCAAATTTCGTACTGGCAAAGACGGCTTCATCACCAACATCATCTACAACCTGAATACGGATGCGCAGGTCAGAGATTTGACTGAGCGTTTGAAATATCACAGCGTCAAGATTGGTCTCGTTCTCGACGCGTTCAACATTCATGTCCAAACACAGCTGCGGGATCTCCACAATGAACAACACCAAGACCTGGCGGAGCGAATTCAGGAGCTGAAGCACCTACTTGTTGATAGTCGCGATTCAAGCACCGACGCGTATCAGCCGGTGATCAAGCGAGATATAGAAGTCCCTGTCGAACTTGCCGAGCGCTTCACAGCGGAGTTACAGCAACGTTCTTTATTGTATACGTTTGACTGGGAGAAAACATCTGACGGACTGCAAGTATCAGTCAGAGAAGGCCTAGAAGCCTTTTGCAATCATTTCAATGGCGTTCGTCCGTATGGAGATGCGACATCATATCTTCGCCTTCTCAAAAGCATATGGCTAATGGACAAGATTAGGGAAGGACACGATTGGTCAAGTATCCAAAGCTCAAATCCAGGTGGTCTCTATGATAGGTGCATCCGGGAAATGGATCGACGACTTCGCATAGAGTGCGCTCGAATCGCTAGCAGTCCAATCGCGCGCCCCCGACTATCTACTATTATGCGGTCTCCCGAGGAAATGCTTGCTATCTGGCCGAGACCTATCTCCATCAACGACAACGTGCACGAAACGAATCTTGGAGTTCTTCTGGACATTTCGCTTGTCTCCGGTACGCAGACACATACCTTTCGCGTAGTGCGTAACATGGATGGGACGTTGGGAATGGAAGATACCGCCACGACTATAACATCTTGCACTGGCGGCAGTTCCAGAGACAGAGTAACACAAAGACTCAACCTTGACCCAAGAAAGGTTTTCCTGGTCCCTGTATATGCAATACCGAAAGTCCCAGGCTCGCAAGATGCTTCTTGTAGCGTAAAGCTGCAGAGCTCGCCTGATGACACAAATGGCCTGACTCCAGAGTTTCGCTCATGTACCGACTTGTTCAGATTGCAACACCTCATAACGGGTTACAGATGCGTACATCAAAGGTGGGTAGCTTCAGCCTACACAACTTGTCGCGCAAGCAGCACTTCAACTCTATGCCTGCATGAGACTGACACGTGTGAAGGAGAACTGTAATAGTCACATCGCTCGTGAAAGGGCAGGGCTTCCCAATGATCGGCGGCGCATCCGAAACAAGACCAAGCAAGACCATCGACGTACTGACTGAGATCGGAAACATACAGTTGTGGCAGAAAGCTGCTTTTCAAAAGAGACCCGCGTCCCAACATCAATACAGCAGGACGTCAGAGGACCTGTTAAATTATTCAGAAACTGTATCGGGTGCATGGAGTCCTGAGCCACTCAGCGAACGGACATTCACCTCGACGTCCAGTATCATGAGCAACATCTCCAGCGCTCACTCACAAGAGATCTCACTGGGCTCTGCAGTCAGGGCGGTGCAATTGACACAACCAGAGCCACCGTTACTTGTGGTATTTCTCAAACAGCCAGTCACAGGACAGTTATCCTTCCTAGCCATTGAGCTCGACGAGCGTACGAAGATCGAGCCAAAAAGCTGCGACTGCCGAAGCACCAAAGCCAGCTGTACAGTCAGTGTGCTAGAGCGATCTGGTACATCACTGCTAGCACGTCGTTTTTATACGGAGAAAGGGCTCAACAGCTGGAATCTGGCGGCTGTCGGAGCACACTGGTCTTCATCTGACGCAGGTGCGGTGCGCGTGCGGGACATGTACTGGCTTCGGTTCGAGTTCTCGAACGACGCTGAGCGCAAGAAGTTTCATCAGAATGTTGCTGATCTTATTCGCATCTTCTCTGCAAGGATGAATGACTACCAGAGAGACTTAAGATCTGTACGTGGAGCTCACATCATCTCACGACCAGGCTGAGAATGTTCGGCGTTGCTCTCACTTCCTTCATCTATCGTATTTGCCAATTTTTAGTCTGATGTTCATAACGTTCCTTCGTCTCAATATCATGTAGTAGCAGTCTGTGGTGTTGTTCGCTCACTTCCGATGATCTCGCTCAGCCCTCGTACTAGTTTGAGTCAAGAAAGCTTTTATAAGAGATCATGTTGCTAGATTATGTCTACGCTGCACCTACAAGTATATGCAACATACAAGAGAGACACACGAAGTTGACGTCAGTCATGTGGATGTCTCGGAAGATACAACTTCCTCAATGCGAACAATCTAGCGAATGCGAATTTAGGCTGAGAATCGCACCTGACGCCCGGTGCTAGCGAATGCGACATGCTTGGCCTGCGCCACCGACCTCTCGCACTCGTCAACACTTCGCCAATACACTTGGCACTCTATGATAGAGATATGCAACATTCTTCAAAAGAACGGCGTGGGTTTCGAAGCCAGAATTAAAGTATACATTGATGTATACACCAGTTCAGTTTTTATATAAGACCTTCCAAGGTCTTCAAGAACTAAATTCCGCATTGTCTTCACCTTACGATGACGGCGCCGTCGCAGTCTGGCCAAGAACACCAACCTGAGTTCATCACAGCTAGTATTGTTGCGGCTACTAGCAGAGAAACATGGATAACTCAAGCGCGACGATGGAAGTTTCTCCTACTGCTGTTGCCAGGCTTCTATACCGCGAGTATGGATCTAACTGTTGTCGCCACAGCGCAGCCGTTCATCGCCTCTCATTTCCGTAAGTACTCTCTCCAAGGACCGCCAGTGTACATGCTTACTATCAAACAGAAGCTTTGAACCAGATAAGCTGGATCGGCACAGCCTTCACACTCACAGACACTGCGTTCGTCCCTTTGTTCGGCCAGATAGCTGATGTCTTCGGACGGTACGCAGCCCTGCAGATTGCTGTTATAATTATGACTTTGGGCGGCGTCCTTTGTGCAAGCGCACAAATTTGGCCAATCTTGGTACTTGGTCGAGCACTACAGGGTGTGGGGACGGCCGGCATGTCTACATGCTCTCTCATCATCTTGGCGGACAACGTGTCCCTGAAAGAGCAAGCGTTCAATACTAGCATCTTTCACTTCTTGATCGGCATTGCGTATGCAACTGGACCTTTGGTATGACTCTTAGCAGCTGAGCTTATTACTGCTAACAGGTAATCAGATCGGAGGCTACATGACGAATGTGCATTGGCGATATGTCTTTGTGCTCTTGTCCGCCTTAAGCGCAATAAGCATCCTCACTATTGCGTTCCTGCGACCTGATCTGAAGAACGGGAGGTACTCGGTGGCTCATCCGCAGTCGGGTCAGACTTCTCTTAGGTCTTTCCTCGATGGATGCGCGTGTATCGACCTGATCGGCGTGGGAACGTTCGTCGTTGGAGTGGCGCTGATTATCCTGGCGACCAGTTGGGGTGGCTCGGCTTATGCCTGGACATCACCAGCCGTCCTAACACCGCTTATCACCGGCCCATTCTTGCTGGTAGTGTTCGTGGTGTACCAACGATACATGGCGCCGGGCCGACATCTCGCGCAACGACTTCCACGGATCATGCCCGTGGTGCCATACCAGCTCTTTCACGAGAAGGATGTGACCCTAGTCTGTATCATCTCCGCAGCAACAGGTGCAGCTCTCTACGCCTGCTTCTACTTCGCCGGTATCTACTTCACTCTTGTTGAGGGTTTCGACGCTGGTAAAGCTGGGCTCCAGCTGCTGTTCTACGTTCCCGGGATCGGTATCGGCGTATACACTGCCATTATCATGTGCAACGTACACCCTCGACAGACCATCTGGCCCTTATTGATCGGTACAATCGTAGAGACAGGTAGCATCGGAGCACTATCATGGGCTATACGTGCTCGCCAGAGGACCGCTGTCAACGTGCTCATGGGCGTCGCCGGGTTCGGTACTGGCATCCGCTTTATGCCAGAGAACCTACACCTGACAGGAATGTACCGGGACAAGATCGCTGTCATTCTCGGCCTTTTGAGCTTCGCTGGTCCTTTTGGTGGAACCATAGCTTTGACGGTGATGGGCTCGGTCTTCCAGAACAAGATGTCGGCCTACTTCGTCGGTAGCGAAGGGTCATCTAGATTCGACGTCAACTCACCCACCGCATTGAATGCCGTCAGCGACCTCTCGTTGGAAGATCTGGAACGCTTCCGATCTGCTGCCGCCAACGCTATTAGTTGGTCGTTCATCTCCATTTTGCCATTTTTAGCCCTCAGCATCCTCGCTGCGTTAATGCTAGGCAACGTCTGGATATGCAAGGACAAGAAAGCGATGAAGGCGACATCTCCCAGCGACCCGACAGTGAATACGGACGCAGCGCTGCAAGATCAGACGCAGAGTGTGCAGCGGAATGGAAGGCCGGAGGTGCTGACCGGAATCTACCTCTACGCTGTATTGAGAGGAACAGTAGCTTCACAGCGGCACTTGGGCCCGCTGGAGGTGCGGTTAGATCGTCACAAGGAGAAGAAAGACAGCAGGGAGAGTGCTTCGCTATGATGTCATGATAACATTCCGTTTATGGTTAGACCGAACCCACGGGCCAAATGCCCCTATCGTAACGAAGTGGCTGGAGTCCCAGCCATCCGCGTTCCCACTGCAGCGATCCCTCAAGCAACATGAAAATTGTCTATCGCATCATGCATCTGCCTCAAGACTGGCCACAGTTTTCTTCGTCCGCTTGAGTTGACTCATCTTCGTGATCAGCTCCCCGATTGCGGCCACGGTCCTACCGCGCATGATATCGAAAACCGCAATGTCCGCAGCAAACTCCTTGCCAATCCAGTTGCGCAGCTCGACTGCGACAAGTGAATCCACCCCGAAAGCGTGAAGGGGTTTATTGACGTCAATCTCCTCTGGAGGGATGGACAGTGCGCGGGCGAGCTTGCGCGCCAGCGCCTCGAGGACTACTGCTACTCGCTGCTCATCGTCCTCCGCAAGATTGAACAGCGTAGCGGCACTGACGCTACTCTGTGTGTTGGACTGGTTTGTGCCACGGGCTTGCGAGAAGGATGCGAAGAGTGGGCGCTGCAACACCTCAGCTGGTTCCAAATTGCGTTCGATCAGATCAACGGGAGTTACTAGACCCATGGCGATCTGACTCTTGTCTATTGTCATCGGCATCTTCGTATGTTCTGGGTCACAGTATATGGTCAACACCGCTAGGAACTCATCTTCTTCAATCTGACCGAGACTGCCGGACTTTTTGAAGTTCTCGTGTAAGCGTTCAGTCTCCGCGACGATGCCGATGGTGCGCATGACACCCAGGTCAATGGACGTTGCGCGCTGCTGGTGCTGGACTCGATGACGTGCGAGTGCGTCTTGGAAGGTGCAGCCTGCTGCATAGTTGGACTGACCAATGTTGCCTGCGACGCCTGCCACCGACGATAACATGATGAAGAAATCCAGATCTCGAGGAAGCACGGTGTGGAGATTCCATGAAGTGTGGGCTTTGGAACGGATAGTCTGAACCCACTGAGTGTGACTCATGTTGTCGAATGTCGCGTCCTACGAGACTTGGTAAGCGATTTCTCGAGCGTGAGCATTGAGAGACTTACATTCAGCATCATGGTGGCGTTGATGCAACCTCGAATTGGCGGCATAGACTTTGCGCATGCAGCGAGAAGATCAGAGAGCGACTCTGCATTGGATGCATCACACTTCGGGGTGCACACGTTGATGCCCAGCTCCGCTAGTTCGCTCACCAGTTCAACAGCAGCTCCCGAAGCAGTACCAGACCTCGATGGTACGATCAGATGTCGCGCGCCCCTAGAGGCCACCCATCTGAGTATGGATCTCCCGATGCCACCCAGTCCTCCGGCAACGACATAGCTGGCGTTCTGGTCAAATTGCCACGATCGACGGCGGAGAACGCGTTTCTAAACTAGTCAGTCTTGATCGATACTTAAGACCTGACAAACGTACCTGCACTTTTGCAGAAGGATCGATTTGGATGATGATGCGTCCAGTATTCTTCCCACTCTGGAGATACCTAAACGCGCCCTCAACGTCTGACACCGGGAAAAGGTTCAATGGCCTCGGACAGTGTATGTTCCCTTCTCCGACAAGATCCATCGTCTTGTGGAGTAAGTCCCGTCCCATCTGCTTGCGATTCAAAGCGATATGGCGCAGATCAACCGCGAAGAACGAGACATTGTTTGCAAAAGCCGCCATTGGAAGTGAGGAATTGGCGTTGATGTCAGCTTTGCCAATCTCAACAAATCTGCCATATGGTGCAACGCATTCCCACGAGGCACGCAGTCCCTCTCCCACAAGAGAATTCAGCACGACGTCAACGCCGTACCCATTTGTGAGACGCATGATGCCTTTCGCGAAAGTCGTGTTTCGACTGTAAAAGATGTGGTCGGAAGGAATCCCATACAGGTCGATGAGATGCTGCTTCTTGAAGTCGAAGCCTACGGTCACGAATATTTCAGCGCCGATCAATTTGGCAATTTGGATAGCAAGCTGACCAGTCGCGCCAGATGCAGCATGTATCAGAATCTTTTCTCCTTTTTGCAATCTCGCAACTTCGGCCAGGGAGTAATAGGCTGTTATGCCACAGTTTAGCACTGCGCACGCTTCTTCGAACGAGACGGCCTCTGGAATCGCAACGGTAGCCCATTCGTCAGCGCGAGGCAACATTCGCATGCATCCGACACCGCAAATGCAAACTCTGTCTCCTGGTTTAAACTGTGTACAAGCGAAGCCTACGCGCGTGACTATACCAGCGCAGTCAGAGCCGAAGGTATCTTCTTCCAGCCGACCGAGCGCCTGGAACATATCGCGGAAATTCAGGCCCCACGCTTTGGCTTCAATCTCGACCTCTCGGTCTCCGAGGGGAGCATGATGTTCAGTATCTTCTGCGAAATGCAATGTTTCGAGAGAGCCTCTGCTTCCAATCTCGATCTTGAGTGGTGGACCGGGAAGCCAGGGTTCTGTCCGCATCTGTGGCTTGACCAATGAGTTCAAGTCCACGTTCAGATCCTTCTCTTCTACGAGCCGCCCGGTCAGCATGTGGCCATCGCGAAGCACGTACTCGAGTTCTGGCGACTGCGCTGAGGACATTACGTCAAGGACATCCCAGATGGCATCGCATCCGCTGATCCAGTCGCGGACTGCATCCTCAATCGAGAGCGTTACGATACGCTTGTTAGCGAACTCTAGCCGCATGGCCCGAAGAAAGCCATCCTTAAGACTAGCACAGGGATAAGGAGAGCAGTCGGTGTTGTTGGGAAGCACAGCAGAAGAGACCCACAAGAGATTCTCGGATGCATGCACCCATTCCCGGATGAGTTGTAATGCTTCAGCTGATGTGGACATCAAGATATCCCCACTTATATCAGCGAGGAAGACGACGATGTCTTCTTTAGACACTTCGGCAACGCCAACCTGTGTAAATAGGCATATCCTTGTTGTCGTACGGAATGTTGAGGGCTTTTGCTGCAAGAGTTGGGTACCCAAACCATAGTGAGACTGGTTGGCATCGTTGACAACGAACAGTATTCTACCACTTCTTTGCGTGGGTTGGAGGTCTTCGTCAGCAGTGGAAAAGATTACGCTGCATTGATGCGCAGCAGGCTCCTCATAATCGCGAATAACGAAGTCGTTGCCCGAGAACCCGTTTTCCCGTAGCAAGCGATCCCACTCCGGTTCTGTGATGGTAGGTCCGGAAGTACGGAACTTCTCTTCGCTGAGCCACCAGCCAGGCAGTATGCCAAAGCCAAAGTTCATGAGGAAGCAGTCTGGCGCCGTAGTCTCATGGAAAATGAGTTTGCCTCCGGGCTTCAACGCACGTCTCAGATTCTGGAGTGTGAGGGCGAGGTTCTTCGTGGCATGGATGACACTACCGGCGAGGATTACGTCGTAAGTACCGGATTGGAATCCTTGCTTTGTGACGTCGCTTTCGATATCAAAAGTCTTGAAGACCATGCGATCCTGGATGTGAGAGAACTTTTCGCGTGCCTTCTCGAAGAAGCCTGGGGAGACGTCTGTGTAGGTGTAGCTAGAGAATGCTGTACCGCCGGTACGGGTCTCGACGTCGCGAAGAGTGGAAATGATGTGATCCGTCATAGCGCCTGTCCCTGAACCAACCTCAAGGATCTTCTGTGTTGGGTTCTCGTGTGCCACTAGGCTGAGGTACGAGATGAACTTATCATTGTAAACTGGCGCGAACATAGCCTTGTATATGTCTTGGGCGAGAGTCGTGGAGAAAAGCAGCTCGAGCGCATTGATGTCGCCGCGTACGATGGGGACAATGTGCTCTGCTATCTCGATGAACATTCTCCAGTCCGGGAATTGCGTACTCAGATGATAGAGCTTATCGTTTAGCTCTTCATCCGCGAGCTCTGCTTGCGACAGTATCGGTACGTGCTCAAGGTGTAGCTTGAGCCATGACAGGTATTTCTTCATGTGTGTTGGTGCTGTAGACCAGTCCGTGTCTTCCAGCCGGTCGAGGTTGCGGTGAACAACAGTGCGAATCGTCTGCTCAAGTTCGAGGATGAATTTGACGTGCATTGATTCATCATCCGCGAGGTAATCAGCTTCGCAATACACCTGGAGCTGGCTTGGCTTCATGAGCGATAGCTGCGGCTTCCAGTCAAAGCCATGTAGCAGTTTCCTTTCCACTTCGCTCTTCGTTTCAGCGCCGAGCACTGGCGACATCTCTAGACGCGATACATGACAAAGCGGTGATCCGTCATCTGCAAGCGCCGTGAAGGAGCTCTCGATACCTTTAATCGTCCTCTTGAACCTTGATGTCGTGAGCATTCTAATGTGGCGAGTTTGAGGGTGTTGCCACCCAGATGCTGATATCCAGGTATCATAGACTTTGTGAGGAATAATCGTCGGTAATTTGTCTGACATGCCAGTAGACGGCGCAGTAAAGCAGACCTGGCAGGCTGCATCAAGTACTGCTGGGTGCACGACCCCTTCGTAAAAATGCATGGGCGCGCTAACGTCGACGCTCGCAATACCGAGCTCGTCGCCATCCCAATGGATATTGTCTGCCAACGCAAACGCTTCGCCGTATTTGAGACCTTGGTTCTTGTGCCAGTCATAGAAGGTCGTCTTGCTTATAGGAAGCGTGCATTGTTCTTCCGCGGCAACGTAGCTATCGAGCAATGCCTTAGCGTGAGCTCTGGCTTCAAGACCGCAGTCTACTTCGGTGGCAGTCTCTTCGTAGTCCACATGCACTTCAGCTCGGACACACTCAATCCACTCGCTATCTGGTCGAGCGAAAATACGAACTTCTGAACGTGTCGACGTCTTCTCGTAGTCCTGACGAAGCGGGCGTAGCTGAGTGACCACTTCTGTCTTGCTATTAGGCTCAGAGCTAACGACAATGGGATTCATGAAGGTTGCTTCTTTGATATTGTAGCCCAAGATGACTTGGTCGGCCTGAAAGTGCTGTTTTACGGCTTCTAGAGCCATCATGATCATCCCGGTGGCCGGGAAAAGCGCCTGGTCACCTACGACGTGGTCTGCAAGCCAAGGAGTCTCTTCTAGACTAAGCATCTTTCGCCATCGCGGCTCGGAAGGATTCCAGTCTGTAGCACATATGCCGAGAACGCTTCTTGGTGCGTTGTTGCGCATCCGCCAGTCTCGGCTAAGTCGAGTCTCGTGCCAGTATGTCTGCGAACGATCGAAAGGGTACTCAGGCAAGTCAACCAGTATCTGCAGGCGTTCCGCTTGAGCATCTTGTAGATTCGCCGCATCGATCGACGGAGCATATCCATACGTAAACAAGCACCCGATTGTCATCAGGGTGGATCTGAGAGAAGAATCGAATTTCGACAACAAAGACATGTACCTAGCTTGCTTCTTGGTCGTATATTGGCCCAGTGTTTCGGTGGTAGGTCTCTTCAGTGCTGCATGAGGTCCGATTTCGATATAGTCATGTATAGTGTGGTTGCGATCGAGCTTCGGTGCTGTCACGGCAAGGTATCGCAGGGCGTCCGCAAATCTGACGGGGGAGACAAGATTATCGACCCAGTAAGTACCTGTGACCAAGGCATCGGCATCAACTACTGTGCCAGTCACAGAGGAAACCATGAAGATCGAGCCTTGTTGCTCGCCTCGTTCGAGTGGACCCATCGACGAGTAATACTCCGCGGAGATGTCATGCATAGCAGGAGAATGGTAAGCTACGCCCGTTCTCACTTTCTGCGCGAATATGCCGTCTTCATCCAGCCGATCTTTCAAGGTGTCGATGCTGGCCTCATCGCCAGATAATGTTACGTTGAAAGGGCTGTTGACGCAAGCAACGTGGATATTTCCAGAGAGAGAAGCCTTGGCCAGGTATCCTGAAACGCCACTTTCAGGAAGATTGACTGACATCATGGCTCCGGGACGAGGTAAAGATTCCATAAGCTGATTAGCCTGTCTTCCTCTATGGTAGGCGACTTTACATGCGGACTCAAGTGACAAAGCACCGATACAGTACGCCGCGGCGATCTCGCCAGAGGAGTGGCCAACCACTGCAAGTGGCGCAATACTGAAGCTTCTTAGCAGTTCCACAAGCGCTATCTGGAGAGCAGTGCAGAGGGGCTGGCTGAAACAGGGCTGATTGATGTTGTTCCCGTGCTCCATCTCGTCTAGTCAAGAGTCAGCGTGAATGCCAAAGTAGAGGCGGTTGGCTGTCTTACCAAGTAACGACCATGTTGCGCCTAATGAGCGAAAGAAATTCCCGATCCTGACCAAAGTTGACCTGAAGATGGGAAATCTGAGCAGTTCCCAGCCCATGTGAGCGTACTGCGCACCTTGGCCAGTGAATATCCATGCCATGCCAGCCTCCCGAGCTGAACGTATGAGGGTCGAGGTAGCAGCGCTAATGGTCGTGGACTTCTCGCCGGGATCAACGACTGCGTATGCCTTCCACGCCATGACACTCCTACGAGAGGACAGAGTATACGCGAGGCGACGTAGTTTCTCTTCGTGCCCTAATACGCGCTTGTCGAAGTAATCTGTATACTGCTGTATTACGAGTCGTAACGCAGCTTCGTCCCTCGCAGACCAGACGAGTAGCTGGACACTCCCTTCCGGTGCCTTGACACTTTGAGTAGTAATCACGGTTGTCGAGCCATTCATATGAGCAGGATCGACAGTCACCCCATACTCGCTGGCATGGTCGTGATCGTTTGTGCCATTCAAGTTCCCATTTGGAGTGTTGCCATTCGTTTGTGGCTTCTGCAGAGTCGAGGGAACCAATGTATTGTGGAAGCTTTGTAGATTCATGGACTCAAGAGTGTGATATGCATCGTCCAGTATGACATGTCCGTTGGAACCGCCGAAACCGAAGGAGTTGACTGAGATGCGACGCAGCCCATTGGTCGGCCATGGGATGCATTTCGTGGGTACCTCAACATTGTAGATCTTGGCGTTGATCTTTGGACTGATCTTCTCGAAGAGTGCGCTCGGTGGTATGACGCCCATTTCCAATATCATGATAGACTTGAGAATTCCAGCTAGTCCGCTACAGCCTTCGAGATGGCCTATATTAGATTTGACGGATCCAACATATAGCGGGTGTTTTTGTGATCGGCTAGCCCGGAAGGCCCTGCCTATCGCCTTCATCTCCGTGGCATCTCCGAGCTGAGTACCAGTTCCATGAGCTTCGACGTATCGCGTAGACTCAAATCCCAAGTTGCAGCTCTTATAAACGTGTCTTATCAACTGCTCTTGCGATTCCGCGCTGGGCTGCGTGATGCCTGGTGTGCGTCCATCCTGGTTTGAGCCAGTCGCTCGAACTACGGCACGTATGACATCTGAATCTCGAATCGCGTCCGAAAGCCTCTTGAGTACCAGCACTACCGCACCTTCTCCACGGGCGTAGCCATTAGCACGGTGATCGAAGCTATAGGAGACGCCGTCTGGTGAGAGCATCTGCATGTTCGATAGGTAAAGCGAGATTTCGACGCTGAGGAGGACGTTCGCTCCAGCAAGAAGAGCCTAGCGCGTGTCAGTACTCTTGTAGTGGCACGATCTCGTAGGGCAGCGTTACCATTGAGCTCTGGCCGCTACGAAGCGAATGACAAGCCAAATCCATCGCAATCATGCTTGTCGAGCATGCCGTGTTCAGTTGGATGCTAGGCCCTTTGAAGTCGAAGTACCAGCTAAGCCTATTGGCTAGGATAGAAGGCGAAGTACCCGTCGCGGTATTGGTCGGTGCTTCGTCGGGGTCTCTAGCCAAGATTCTGCTGTAGTCATCGGACATGGAAGCAGCGAAAACTGCCGTCTGTGATCCAGCAAGGGTTTCTGGTGGAATTCCAGCTGTAGACGGTTAGACTTGGCCGACGACACTGGCGATGCAGAGGTTGGGTAGCACTCACCATTCTCCAGTGCTTTGTATGAAGTTTCCAGTAGCCATCTCTGCTGAGGATCCATCGATGCGGCCTCTTTCGAGGTTATGGAGAAGAAGGCTGCATCAAAGGCGGCAGGATCTTCTTTGACAAAGTGAGCATTCGTGGAGTATACCTGTCAACCTCCCTTAGCATTGGCTGCTCTCTTGACGTTTCGTGGATGTAGCTTACCGTATTATCCATCGCTACGTTGGAGCTGTAGAATGCATCGATGTTGCCTCGGTACTTAGGCCACGGACGACTGAGGCTTCTGCCTCTTTGAAGATTGTCCCAGAAGCTGTGATCCTCATTATCACCTTCCGGTAGCTTGTACGACAGCCCGACGATGGCGATGGGCTCCATGGCTGTGAGGCTTCGGCGTAAGTTCACGGTGTTCAGTCACTGTTCACGTGTAGTGCTGATTCAGTTACACCAAAATATATCGGAAGAGAAAGCGCATAGAGACGGTCATGCTATTTCGAGCTTTCCCAGGTAAGACCATCTCGACGTATGCTGGGGTGCGAAGTAATTGGCCGTTGCTACCGATGGTATGGCTATTGGTGGTAAGCCATTACAGCCTGTGGCCCCCAAGGCAGACCTACAGGAAGCGTCAACATCCTTGGAGGTTATTTCCTTGAAAGAGTCGATGCGCGTGCAGGGGTGGCTGCATGCGAGTTGGTTTCCCAAAGCGACCAAATGTCAGCCGTTAATATCGCCCACTGCCACCCACGTACGTTCAATCTGCCGTAGCCAGTCAGCTTGATAAAGCGCCGGCAAGGCAGTCATCCACTGCGCTGGAATCATTTTTCCTTTGCTCTACCGCCCTTCCCGTCAATCCAATCTGCTTACAAAGGCAGAACCGCACTCGCATACCATAATCACTTCACATCATGGACCCAGCTGCGCTCGCACAATCCTCGCCAGAAGAGCAGGCTATATTCCTAGCCGCGCTTTTGGAGGGTCCAGCTCTAGAGCCTCCAATGGGTACGAGTTCAAACTTCGACCACCCAGGCGGAAGCCATGCCATTGGCTATGGTGTTGTCTTGCTCGGAAGCATTGTCGCTGCACTTGCGGTTCTGCTTCGTTTGTGGTCGAGAGCGCTGTTGAAGACATTTCGCATCGAAGATGCGCTCCTGATATCGGCCCTAGTAAGCATCTCAGTATCCAGAAGACAAACCAAACTAAACAGGCTGCACAGGGTCTATATACTGGACACTCATATGTCTTATACAAACTCGCGATATTCCCAGGCTTTGAAGTTCATCAGTGGAACATCCAGCTCCAAAACCTGTTTCCAATCCTTTACGTGAGTGCGATAGCGATCGAAACATGGACCTTAACTGATCCTTAACAGCATGTTCATCTGGGCTCAATCTTTTACGGTTTGGTCATCATGCTCCTGAAGGTAGCCATCTTGCTCGACTGGCTCAAGATCTTCGTGCCTCGTGGGCAGCGCAACGCCGTGTTCTGGATTTCTCATGTCATGATCTGGGCGAACATCCTCTTCTATGGCGTCGGTACCTTAGTCGAGATCTTCCAGTGCAGTCCACGGACCAAGATATGGAATCCTTTGGTAGAGGGTAAGTGCCCTATCGACATGAGAAGCCACAATATGGCTGCGGGTATCGTCAACCTCATCTCCGATCTGGTCATCCTCGGGCTGCCACAAAGGGTGATCTGGCAGCTACACATGTCGCGTGCCAGCAAGATCGGTATCTCGCTCCTCTTCGGTATCGGAATATTCGCCTGTGCGAGCGCAGCGGTGCGCCTGTATTACATCTACAGGCTGTTGCACACATCCGATCAGCTGTATATTGTCTCCATCGCGGGTCTTTGGGGTGTGGGCGAGATGACGGCTGGTTTCCTCATCATAGGCTTCCCATCGCTTCCCAAAGTCGTCAAGGCCCTGCCATTCTCGGATTCTGTTGTCTCGCTCTTGCGACAGATAACGCGGCCGGGCTCAAGCGGTCATGCTGAAGGTCAGGCCGAGACGCGTCGCGGGCTGCCGTCGTGGCACAAAGCCGCACCACTAAAGAAGCGTCGCGACCAGTTCGAGGTCAGCGAATTGAGCGAATATGATCTTCCAGATCGCGATAAGGTTCACATGGGTGATAGGCGCTAGGTAGAGGGTGCATGGCTGGCATCGCGGGTTGGTGGGATCGCATTCTTCGTAGTTCATCACAGTCCTGGAATGGAAAGATGCAGGTGCCCTGCTATCCCCGGCACGACTTCGGTAAACGCGTCCCAGCCACACGCGATCCGCTGACGTGAGCCCTCTCATCACGTGACGAACATGAAGGGTGCGCGTCATGACGATCCTCCCCTATTGCTCTCCTCACTGCTTGATACCTTGCCGACTCCTGTGCAATTCGCCTGCATGCAGGTAATAGCTCACCGATATGATGTTGCATGCCGAGTCTAGGCACCCTTTTGACCGGCCACTCCAGGGCTGCCTGTAATCGCTACAGCCGCGTAGAGAGGTCGGTTGCTGCAAGCTGCAAGGGTAGTTATGGCCCACGGATAGTGCCACCAGATCCAGCATCTCATTCGCCTATACTCAGCCTCCCTGGGGCGTCCTCCTCTTCTTGCCTGTCTCAATGCTATAGTCAGATCGATCTGATGGTTGTGTCGCACGGGCTATGCACCCATCCGGGGGCACACCGTACATATAACGACTATCTTGACTGTGCAGTGCATCACTCTCGGTTATTCCTGTTACACACCCGGGCATCTACTTTACGAAAGTTTCCACAGAATGGGTGAAGCATACGACCCAAGGACCGTCTTCAGCCCCAGCCGAGAGTTGGCAGCCCGCATCGGGAATCAGAAGCCCCGACAAAAGACGATCCCGTCGTCCTCATTCTATCGCAACCTGGAAGACGCACTAGAAGTTAAGAAGAAGTCACACACATTCTACTCGATCCAACAGAACCTATGGCAAGCGGCCGAGTCCACAGTCGACTTCATCTCCAACGACATTCTCTCCTTTGGCACCAGCGGCATCTTGAAGACAGAATACCTGAAAGAGCTTTCCCGATATGATCAACACAACCCTGGGGCGCCGGGATCGCGACTCGCCGAAGGAAACTACGCCTATATAGAAGAAACTGAGCAGCACATCGCTAAATTCCATGGCGCAGAAACGGCATTATTGTTGGCCTCTGGGTTCGAAGCAAACGTGGCCATATGGACGTCAATACCACGACCGGGCGACGTAATTCTATACGATACCTTGGTGCATGCCAGCACTCATGAAGGAATTGACCAGAGTCTGGCAGGAGAACGAGAGAGTTTTGCGCACAATGACATCGAGGACTTTCGCCGCATCCTAACATGGATCATAGAGTCCAATCCTTTGATTCAAAGGGGCGCAAGATCAGTCTTAGTAGCTGTCGAGTCTGTCTATAGTATGGACGGCGATGTCTGCCCATTGCAAGAGCTTGTCGATGCCGCGAAGGAATTGGCTCCTTCCGGAAGTGTCCAGTTTGTGGTGGACGAAGCCCATAGTAACGGCATTTATGGGCCGCAAGGCAAGGGTCTTGTGTGCGCTCTTGGTCTGGAAAAAGAGGTGGCTATAGTGATGCATTCATACGGCAAGGCCTTGTCGTCAAGAGGTGGTATGTATCTTATCACCTGCACGAAAGCCATGTATACTGACCTGCGATACAGCTACAGTGCTCGGTAACGAGACGATCAAGTCTACGCTGCTAAACTTCGCACGAACTATCATCTTCACGACTGCGCCTTCATTCGCATCTGTAGCACTCATCCGGACAGGCTACAGGTTATTGGAATCGGAAGCTGGAAGACAGGTAATTACCCCCTTCACGTCAATGGCTATGACCATACTTTTCTGACGCTGTACAAGGCCCAAACAAGAGTCCACGACCTTGTCGACCTCTTCTTGCAGTCAATCATCTCGCACCCCCTCTGGGAAAGCGCAGAGCAAGCCGGGCTACTCGCCATCCCCCTACTAAAGGACTGGGAAGCATCACCGACGGCGACATCTCACATCATCACGATCCGCACCCGACAACCATACACATACTGGCTGTATTTCCACCTACTACTAGACGGATACTGCGTTTTCCCGGTTGAGCACCCCGTCGTCGCCAAGGGCGAAAGTCGCTTAAAGGTTACATTCCACGCCGGCAACACAGAAGAGCAAGTAAGCGGGATGGTAACATCGGTTTTCGCGTGGATTCAGGAAACGATGGAAATTGAGGGAAGCAAGGATGACGCGCAGCGAATTGGCGTTTCGCAAGCTGCCCACAAGGTCTATACTTGGATGGCGCATGAAGGGCTGACTGGGTTTGGCATGCCTGCTTCGATGGTGAGATACTGAATGTATCTTTCATTGGTCTCACAATTATTACCCGAATAATTCCTCTCGTCTCGAGTTCGCCTTGGAAGTCTAGAGATTATGCACAATGCGACAGGGATGGAGTAGCCTGGTCAACGGGGCGTAAAGCGCATGCAAGGCAGGTGGAGCCAACCGCATCATCCCTCATATCAACTTCATAAAGTACCAAAATGGCGGTCCCCGAGCCGCGAAGATCATTCCTTCATGTACATGTTGTGGGCAACACAAAATATGCACGTAAGCCGTTGAGGCTTGGCGAGAAGGAATGGAATGGGGCGAAGTAAGATCATAGTTGCAGAAAGGTTGGCGGCAGTTCCTTCAGCCTTCACATCCTAGCGCTTCGGGCCGGTGGATCTTGGATGCTCATACGTGCATGTAGGATTCTTCCGTCGAGGCTTTTTTGGAGATTAGGATATGCCCAAGTTGTTTAGTCCAACCCACACCTAGAACTTTTGTATGCTTGTTCTTGTTCAAGTATTGGATATGCGCAATGACCAAGTCTCACCGTGCTCGGATAGAGTGACACGACCCGGGCTTTGACTACACACTTGAAGCTGCCATATTTCTGACTTTACACGCGATCATGCAATATAAACCAGGTAGTCTACCATAGCCTTATTATCGTATGAGACGAATTCTGGAGTTTGACATAGCCTAATGTCTACATGTGAAGTCCATAAATCACGCGGGCCGTGCACCGCGATGCAGCGCCGCTGCCTAAACAGTTACTGTGCCACAAACGCGCAGAACCCTTACACGGGCCACGGATGAGGTGGCGGCGTTGTGTCTGGCTCACCTTCGCTCCCATCAATTCTCCGGCAACCACCACTCTTTTGCATTGCCGTCCGTTTCACAGCACGCAAGCATGGCGCCTAAAGGTGATCTAAGTGGGAAGGTATGGTGCAACCTGGCTGATCCGCGTATGTACGCTGACATGTGAAGACGGTATTCGTGATTGGCGGGTCTAAAGGACTGGGGAAGGAGATGTCGAAGGTTATGGCTTCTCAAGGTACGAGCTTGGTATGCCTAGAGTGTCTGTCGTCATTGTTGAACACATCGTATAGGTGCTCATGTAACTATCTTTGCGCGCGGGCAAACGTCGCTTGACGAGGCCAAAGATGAGATTCTGGCAAGCAGAAGAGACGAAATCCAGCAGGTCGCGGCAATCGCTGCAGACCTTGGCACACCTTCAGCAGTGAGTAGACGTCCGGCCCAACTACCAAGATGAGGAGGCAAGTACAAACTAGAATTCTAATGATACTACTAGGCGTATTCCCTTTTCGCATCACAGCCGACAATTCCGGATATCGTGTATTGTGTTGCTGGCGGTACACCGTCGGAGTGCGGGTACTTGCTCGATCTGCAGCCTGAAGTATTCGAACGCTGTATGAACAACAACTACTACTCCAGCCTGTACCCGGCGCAGGCGGCAATGAAGCTGTGGACTCAAGATGACGAAGACGCTGCGGTGCCATTAAGCCCAAAGTTGAGGAAGATTGTGTTCGTGAATAGTTCCGCATCGCTTGTCCCGGCACCTGGCTACCTAGCATACTCCGGTAAGTGATCGTGCATCGCCGTAGAACGGTGCAAGTCTTAAAACTCAGTATACTGACTGATCGTGCGTACATCAAGCCGCCAAAGCTGCTCAACGCTCACTTGCCGACACCCTACGCATGGAAGTAATGAGGTACTCAGGCCCAAAGAGCACGTACGCCGTCCAATGTATCTTTGCGCACAACTTCATCACGCCAACGTTTCTACAAGAGCAAAAGACTAAACCCGAACTTACCAAGCGCATCGAAGGCACGTCGGGCGAGCTTCACGAGTTGGAGAAGCAATTCCCCTACGCTGCGAAGATTGCGCCCGAGATTGTGGCAAATGTAGCGAGCGGCGACTATGCTGTATGTGATGGGAGATTCGATCCTCAGCTATTGTGGGCGAATGCTATGGGTGCGAGTCCGCGGCGTGGATGGGGGATCGTGGATACGCTGATGGCCATGTTTATGCTTCTCGCGTGGCCATTCGTGAGGCGTGATATGGAGAAGAAGTGTTGGGGTGATGCGTTGGGTGCAAAACAGGATGAAGATACGAAATCATGATGGTCGTCCTACATCATCAATGGCCTATAAGGTTCTGTTTAGTGCGATTAATAATCGTACTCTCTAACATATGGGGTATGCCTCAGTCTTGATAAGGGCCGAAGCGATGACGTTCCCGTTGTTTGAGGTTTGCATGTGATCGAGAATGCGGCACAGCTACGGTATCCTGATCTTCTGTTCCCCGCCTCCATCCTTGCCCTCGACACACATTTCGGCCTCATCATGGATAGCCTGCTCAGTCTATTCCGTCCCACGCCACAGCCTCCATCTGATAGCGCACGTTTCACAAGTCCAGTGCAGCGTCCAACGCACTTGTGCGGTCCGCGAACCATCTACAATAGCGTCAAAGATCTCAGTAAGCGTGTCGACTTCTACGAAGAAATCACTATCTTCGCTTGGCCGTCACGCGGAGGTGTGATCGTACTCGAGAGGCCCTGTCCTGCAGATTTCGACTTTCTCGGCCTCGACCGTCTCGATCCTCCGAAGAAGCGTCACGCCACTCGACAAGAGGAAGACGACTTTGCTCAGCGCTTACTATTGCTCGGTGGGAAGTGGTGGGATTCTCCCGCTAGACACTCCCTGTTTACTCAACCCGACCACTTGCAAGATGAGGACGAAATGGCTGCTCTCCCTGAGCCGACGGCAAGGGAAAACGCGTGGGTTGGTGTCGCATGGCCTAGTTCGGGTGGATTGGTCGTAGCTGAGTGGCCGACCATGATGTACCCTGGTGGACGCATGGACGACGTCGCTCCAGACGATGTGTCGAGATTATTCCTGTGTTTGACAATGGACGAGAAGGCGGCAGTGTTGATAGACAGACTCGAAGGGAAGTGGTGGAAAGGAGTCAAGGATTACGAGGGTAGGGCTTTCATTGGCAGCTGGGGAAACCATCGAGGCGAAGTTGGCGGACTTCAACAAACGTGGCCAAACGAGGGAGAGAGCCAGAATCCTGGTACTAAAGCTCTGCCTGGTCAACGAGTTCTCTCATCCAGAGAATCAAACTTCGATATAGGAAAATATTGCTGACGTGTCGAGTATACCTTGCCCATACTTTCGAACCGGACGTCAGGCCGCAAGGCGTGAAGAGTCACACCCTGCCACGCTGATCGCGGACCCGCCTGAGTCGCATTGAACCATGGCCATTGCAGACGGAACGTTGGGTAGGCGTGGAGTGATGATCTGATGTGGCACCAGTTGGGCCGACGCGACTGGTCTAGTCCATATCGGGTAAAGTGCAACAGGAGTGACGTAGCTGCGATTGGCGGGGAGCTCTTTGCCTGACCGGAAACCTGTACGAGGATCCAGAAGCTTCTACCGACAGGGCAGAACCCACGCCTAGCTTCGAGACATGACGAGAAACCACACGATGTCACTGACGGCTTCCTGACGCTTCACGAAGTGTTGAGTAAAGCTGCCTGCACCTTATAAATATTTCTCGAGTCCTTTGTGCAACACTTCCTTTCTTCTCCAGAGATACCCAACAACAACACAACGCATACACGATTCCTGAGTACGAGCTCACGACCCACGATTATTACCTTTGGCTTCGGGCCATATACACCAGGCTATAGTCACGAATCACCATGACTTCATTCGACGCCTACACCGACCGCGCCGCGAAGGCTCTAGCAGACAGCTTCGATCTAGCTAAGGGCTATGCGCACTCACAACTCACACCCCTCCACCTCGCCGTCTCGCTCATAGATCCGCCCAAAGATCTGGCCAACCAAGTCGACGTACCGCCGCCGCCGCTATTCAAGCAAGTACTCGAACGCGCGAATGGCGACCCACAACTCTTCGAGCGCAACCTCAAGAAGGCTATGGTACGGTTACCAAGCCAAGACCCTCCGCCAGAGCGGACTTCACCTTCACCTGCTATGGCCAAGGTGCTCCGTTCCGCCGAAGACTTGAGCAAGACACAAAAAGACAGCTTCATCGCCGTCGACCACCTCATCCAGTCCCTCTGCCAGGATGCGCAAATGCAACGGATCCTCGCCGAGTCCAACGTACCGAACGTCAAGCAGATCGACAATGCTATCCTGGCACTCCGAGGCACAAAGCGGGTGGACTCCAAGTCGGCAGACGCGGAGCAGGAAAACGAGAACTTGAAGAAGTTCACTATCGACATGACGGCAATGGCACGAGAGGGCAAGATCGACCCAGTCATTGGTAGAGAAGACGAGACACGCAGAGTCATCCGCATCTTGACTCGGCGAACAAAGAACAACCCAGTCCTCATTGGAGAACCTGGTGTTGGTAAGACTACAGTCGTCGAGGGTCTTGCCCGCCGCATTGTCGACGCGGATGTACCGGCCAACCTCGCAGCCTGCAAGCTGCTCTCTCTCGATGTCGGTGCTTTGGTTGCTGGCAGCAAGTACCGCGGAGAGTTTGAAGACCGCATGAAGGGCGTCCTGAAGGAGATCGAGGAGTCGAAGGAGATGATAGTATTGTTCGTCGACGAAATCCATCTCCTCATGGGCGCTGGTTCATCTGGAGAGGGCGGCATGGACGCTGCCAACTTGCTGAAGCCCATGCTGGCCCGTGGACAGCTTCACTGCATTGGTGCGACAACCCTAGGCGAGTACCGAAAGTACATCGAGAAGGATGCTGCTTTCGAGCGTCGTTTCCAACAGGTTCTCGTCAAGGAGCCGTCCATTCCCGAGACCATCTCCATTCTTCGTGGTCTCAAGGAGCGCTACGAGACCCATCACGGAGTCACCATCATGGACGGTGCCATTGTCGCATCAGCCACCCTTGCTGCCCGCTACCTCACTCAGCGCCGACTACCCGACTCTGCCGTTGACCTTATCGATGAGGCTGCGGCAGCCGTTCGTGTCACCCGAGAGTCACAACCCGAAGCGCTTGATAACCTCGAGCGACGCCACCGACAACTACAGATCGAGATCCACGCGCTCTCCCGAGAGAAGGACGAAGCCTCACAAGTCCGTCTGAAGGAGGCGCGCGCAGAGGCCGCCAACATCGAAGAAGAGCTGAAGCCGCTTCGTGAGATGTACGAGCGCGAAAAGGGTCGCAGCAAGGACATCCAGGAGCAGAAGCTCAAGCTTGAAGGCCTCAAGACGAAGCTTGCTGAAGCTGAGCGTATGCGCGACATCCAGACTGCGTCCGATCTCAAGTACTACGCCATTCCCGATGTCGAGCAGCGCATCAGCGAGCTGGAGCGAGACAAGGCCCGCGCGGATGCAGAGATGTGGTCTCACCAGGCTAGCGGAGGTGGTGAGGCTCTCATGAGCGACTCTGTTGGTCCAGACCAGATCAACGAGATTGTCGCTCGCTGGACCGGTATCCCAGTCACTCGACTCAAGACTACAGAGAAGGACAAGCTGCTCAACATGGAGCGCCACCTCCAAGAAGTCGTCGTTGGTCAGAGGGAGGCTGTCGTCTCTGTCTCCAACGCCATTCGACTTCAGCGCTCTGGTCTGGCCAACCCCAACCAACCACCCAGTTTCTTGTTCTGTGGTCCTTCCGGTACCGGTAAGACACTCCTTACAAAGGCCCTCGCGGAGTTCCTATTCGACGACGCAAAGGCCATGATCCGCTTCGACATGTCCGAGTACCAAGAGCGTCACTCCCTTAGCCGAATGATTGGAGCACCACCCGGCTACGTAGGCCACGACGCGGGCGGTCAACTCACCGAGGCCCTGCGCCGCAAACCCTTCTCCATCCTCCTCTTCGACGAAGTCGAAAAGGCCGCCAAGGAAGTCCTTACCGTGCTCCTCCAACTTATGGACGACGGCCGCATCACCGACGGCCAAGGCCGCGTCGTCGACGCAAAGAACTGCATCGTCGTCATGACCTCCAACCTAGGAGCCGAGCACCTGTCCCGCCCCAACGCACCCGACGGCAAGATCGACCCCACCACCAAAGAAATGGTCATGGGCGCCCTGCGCAACTGGTTCCTCCCCGAGTTCCTCAACCGCATCTCCTCCATCGTCATCTTCAACCGCCTCACCAAGCGCGAGATCCGCAAGATCGTCGACGTGCGCCTCGGCGAGATCCAGAAACGCCTCAACCAGAACGGACGTAATGTGCGCATCGAGATGACGCCTGAGGTACGGGATTACCTTGGTTCGGCGGGATACTCGCCTGCGTACGGTGCTAGGCCGCTTGCTCGTCTCATCGAGAAGGAGGTGCTCAATAGGCTTGCGGTGCTTATCCTCCGTGGTTCTATCAAGGAGGGTGAGACCGCGAGGGTTGTGCTTGATGATGGACACATTATGGTGTTGCCTAACCACACGGACAGTGAGGATGATTCGGAGATGTACGATGAGTCTGATGCTGTTGCTGAGTTGGATGCGGAGGAGGATATGGATCTTTACGACTAGGGAAATTGCGAAAGGGAGGTTGAGTTAAAGGCATTTCAGCACAGGCGTTCAGGGACTGACTGGTTTGGGAAGAGTGCCCTAGTAGAGGCATCATGATGGGATTATGATTCATGGTCTGATGATTGTCGATGAAAAGTAAAGGCGCGGGTTGGCGTTTTACGGGATAGCATGCTTGATGACCGTGTCTTGTACATAGTTAATGAGAACCAAATTTCAAATACCTTCATCTTCACCATGCGTTCAGATTCGTCATTGGATTGTTATGGCAACATCTCGATGTCTTCAAAGATGACCATCGCATTGTACAAGCTGTCTTCGTCTATCACAGGATATGCTAAACATTACGCTAATCATGACTTCATTGTGTTCAAGTGTCAATCGACATTTACCATTATCATATTTCACATTCATGGGTAAGCATCATAGTGGATATGTTGTAAATTTCCCAGTCATGAACTTTTGTCATTTCTTCGTCCAACGTTCCCAAGATGGGCTTACTTGGCCAAACAGATGCTTGCCCAAGCCAGGGTATATTGAATCCCACACCACCACATATCGAGACAGCCTCTAGTAGAAGAAACCAAGGATCTTGCCAGCAACGTGCTTCCTGCGGGCCTCCTCGTGGTCCATGATACCAGCGGAGGTGGTCAGGACGATGTAACCGAATTGACGCGAGGGAAGTAGCTTGACGACCCACTTCTCCATGTCGCGGAGCTGGACGTTGTAGCGGGGAGAGATGACACCGGTCTTGTTGATGCGGCCGTTGAGCTGGATGACGATCTTGCCGTTGCGGTGGTCGTCGACCTCCTCGAATTCGCCAATGTAACCTGAAGAAGAGAATTAGTGTATGTTGCGGCGAAATAAACATCAGACGTCATGAAAGGGATCCGAAGACGTGTAAGTCCTCCGCAGTTAATTTATCGGACACTTAAAGCTCATTGATCGTGGGGAGTCGAGATCAGTGAGTAGTTATCAGCCCGAAGAGGTGATGGGGTTGCTAGCGGAGGAATACACGTCTTTGGAGACATGACGCGTGATGTGATAGATGAACGAGTCGACGTACCGTGACGCTGCATGACAGTGAGGAACTTGACGATGACCTTGGAGGAAGGACGGATCAGGACCTGGCGCTTGCCAGCCTTCTCAGCCTGTTCAGTTGTTAGCGCATGTCCATGTCAATCGCCGGAGCTATAGCTTACGTTGTTGATGGCGTTGAGCGCATCGTTGAGGACGGAAGTCTTGACCATTTTGACGGTTTAACGGGAGATTCTCTGTGGCGGAGGCGACTGAGGTATCTGCGCGTGCGTGGTTAGCCTCCAGATGCCAGAGCATGGAGAGTGCCCTTGCAGAAGGGTTCTTCAGCTCGTGTCGAAGAGGAGAAGCAGTGTCGCCCTCATCCTTGCGGACGGCAGCGATTGCATCCCCGGGCTCTGAAGGGCACTCGGGTCCAAGACATACCTCGTGAGGGTGCGGTGGGCGGTAGGGAAGGTCGGAGATGCGAGAAAAGTTCGAGTTTGGAAGGCGCAAATTGGTGTGGTGGACCGTGTCCTCGCTAACGGGGCTGGGCTTGGCAGCAACGACGGGACCCTTGCAGGCTCAGTGCACTCAGCGCCAAACTCCAACACCTGGCTGTCATGCCACACGTCACATTCACGATACAGAGAGAGGTTATGTCTGCCGAGCACGAGACAACATATCGCAGAGCTTATGGTTTGCACTTCACATGTATGCGATGCTATCGCGCCTTCACGTGCCCTCGCGATCGCCAACTGTCTTAGTCATGACGTAGCGGCAGTCACTTTGCCTCCCATTATCCCTTACGAACCTCACGTGTAGACATCCGGAAGTCCCCTCATACACTCTAGTTCACCCTTCTGTTTCATCATGTCTGAAGCCTGCTGTACCTGCGCTGCGCTCCTATCCTCTATTCCCCCAACATACGATGAGAAGACCGAGAAGCCGTCGCAGTTCGAGCGCAGACTCGACTGCTGCGGTCGTGCCATATGCGCCAGATGCTTGACGGATAACCCTAGATTTCAAAACTACTGCCCATATTGCCAGATAGCGACAGGGCCATCAGCACTACCACCACAAGGTCTCCGCGACCCTCCTACGTATTCGCCACCGGGCGAGCAAGTCGACGACGAACTACCACCATACTCAGCAGGCAACGCGCTGCAACCAACATCTGAGAAGTCGAGGACAGACGCCGAAGACGCGCCTGATGTTCTACATTTTGTCGACCAGAACAACGACTCGATCTTATCGCTGTCGCTCCGATATGGTGTACCCGCCGACGCCTTACGCCGAACGAACAACCTGTATGCGGATCATCTACTAGCGGCGCGTAGGACGGTACTCATACCGGGAGAGTTCTACAAAGGTGGGGTCAGTCTAAGCCCGAGGCCACTAGAGGGCGAGGAGGAAGAGATCAAGAAGACAAAGCTACGGAAGTTTATGGTCAAATGCAAGGTCGCAGAGTAAGGGCATCACCTTCCACCATATAGTGGACAGAACTAATATCCTCACTAGATACGACGTTGCACTCCTTTACCTCGAACAAGCCAGCTACAACCTCGAGCAGGCGATCACTGCGTACAAGGCCGATGAAGACTGGGAGAAGACACATTCTCTTGAGGCTGCGAAGAAGGGCAAGGCGAAAGAGTCGCAAAGCTCAGGGCGGCGGAAGTGGGGCTTTGGAGGCCTCACAGGTCAACTTTGATAGCGCTTCCGAGCCGATTCTCCGCTCATGGCGTTTCGAGGCGCTCCGACGATTTGGTAGCTTGGGTATTACCATCGCAGTCAGCGAGCGTGTGTAGATGTAGCAAATGGCCGATTAATATACTATGCCATATATTGGAAGAACTCTTGTACTAAGGATGGCAGAATGCACAATACAGCATTCACCTTTCCAACGACATCCCACATGCAGAGCAGTTTGGACGATTCATGAACTTCCATCAGCCTCTCTAAGAAAATTGACTGAGCTTACTATCAGGAGGATCTGCTATTTTCGTTGGTCGTTGCTTCCAAAGTCTCACTCCTCGCGTCAGGCGCTCACAGCCAATCATCGCGTAGAAGCACCCCAGGCTGTAAGCGCCCAGACATCTCACGAATTAGCATCTGCACCTCAACTCTGGAAGCGCCCACGCTCCATTCGCGTTTCACACTCTGGCGACCCTGCATTTGAATCCTTCTGTATCCTCATTCGACAGCTGACAGCGCACTACAACCGCTCATGCCCTGACTCTGCCCTACCTCGCTACCAGCGGAACCACAGACAAGCCACAGTCTTTGACGCACGGTACGATCGGCACCCTGATTGAACCACAGGGAACGGCATGTGCTGCTAAATGCACACATGCGGTAATACGGCAAGACCCCATGCAGGTTAATATCGCTATTCTAGGCCTGGTGTGCAGCTTACGCGCTGCGAACAACAATACCCTCACCACAAGCCCAGCACACTGGCGCTGCTAGTCCAGGTCCGACTGATGGTCGCAGCGGCAAGACAGATTGCCGTTCTTTCTTTGCTCTTGTTCGTCTATTCCTGTACGCGAACGCCAGATGGGCTGCAGGGGGTTGCACGATGTGTTCTGTAGGCGTGAAACCCCCATTGCGACCGAGATCGTTTTAAAGGCATGTGCCACCCCCAGAGTTGTTTTCTATCCCCATCCCAGGCAAAGAAGATCGACTCGGAGCCTTAGCTTATATCAGGCCGCTTTCTGTCGCTTGCTTGTTATTTCGTTCTCTCGTTCATTCGTCCTTCATTCAGAGAAAGAAAGGTGCGCACTGGTTGACGCCTAGTAATCCATCCGATCTTTATACCATACCTACGCTCCGCGTTTTCGCAATATAAAAAGCAACTTCGAGACCAACGACTATCATCAAGATGAAGATCAACCCCGCTCCTTTCCACTTGGCTCAGGCCATCATCACCGGCCTTGTTGTCGTCTTCAGTATCTGCATCCTTGGCACTTCGGCACACACCCTGGATGTCTTCAACAGGCAACATCTCACAAACCCTTGGTGGGCACCGATGTGGCCTCAGCACTTCGACGTGCAGGGAACCAAGGCGCTCATTGCTTCGTCTGTCGTGACTCTGGTTCTCTGTGGCGCATTCTTGATCGCATCGTTTCTCCCTCAGGTATGCGGCCGTCGATGAATCTCATGCAAAAGAACCTTGTTCTAACAAACATCAGCTCGCGCTTCGTCAGAAATACACCCTGCGTGCTCTTCTGTCCCTCGCTACCCTCCTTCCTACTCTTCTCCTAACCCTGATCACCACCATCTGGGCCCACATGCTCAACAACAACGCGCCAGAAGTCGATACCATCCAGACCTGGACCTGCAAGATGCAGAGCTCTCAACCGCTTGATCAGGATCTGCCTGCTGACATTGCCATGCCTGCTGGCATGGGCAACAGCGACTTCAAGACCCTTTGTGGGGCAAGCAAGTTTGCGCTATACGGAACCCTGATCGTGTTCCTGCTTGTGGGCGCAAGCATGGCTGTCACAATGATTACCTGGATGGCGGACAAGTGGGCAGCGAGGCAGCAGAGGAAGGAAGTTGAGATGGGCAACATTCCCGTGAACAACTAGGCACATCCCAAGGGCGATGTTAATTCGAGAAGAGATGATAACGAGACACGCACGCGCTTGGAGGCGCGTATTAAGTCGAGAGATTTGATGCATTTGGGTTATGGACCTCTGTCAGCAAGCGTGTCCAAAGGGGGAAGGCGTACCGGTGTATTGGCGTCATAGGTCGTTGGTATGTGACTTTGAACAAGGGTCTTCCTTTCAATGTACTTATTTTGCGTTCAATCGCATCTTCTTCACCACGCTTGAGATTGGCATGAAGCATTGTGCAGCGAGATTGCGGGGGACTGGGCCCAGATCAGATCGACAAGTCCAATGGACGATCACCCTGGCGTTGAGCACAGGATGCGTAAGCGTGCGTGAGCGGGAACAGGCAATCATGCTGAACCGCTGCATGGCGCTTTTGTGTTTCTGGGTGGAAAGCGTGCGTTTGCTGGACATGGATTGTCTGGAAAGTTGGACGGGCCAGCAAGCAGCCTCGGAGGAGTTGTCGCGCAGAGCAACGGCACGGCAGCGCGCGCGACAAGCAATTGTCTTTGTACCAGCCAGACATTGTTCATGAGACATTGCACGTAGCGGTTTCAGGGCAGCGTTGAGACGACCTCGCATCTCCGACAATTGACAGGTTAGATAGGGAGCGAACCGCAGTGGGGAAGGCGTGAATAAGCCGGTCAACGATCATCGTTTGGTTCGCGGTTCCAGGTGCATACAGTCCATCTAACTAAGAGCGCGCTAAGACATAGCATGCGCTAACGCAAATAGGTAATTTTTAAAATATAGCATACTAGCGTTATACTACTTAAAAGAATTAGCGTACTTAGTAATAAAATTTTAATTTAAATAATTCTTAGATTTATTTTAAATTAATTTAGACTAAATTATACTTATATTATAATATAAAGCTTTCTTTACCTATATTTAACGCTAAGTCTAAATTTCTTAACTTTAATATATTAGACTTAGATATTTATAAGAGATTTAATTTATATTTATCTAGCTTTAGTAAAAGTAATAATAGTAGTATTAAAGACTAAGTTAAAATATATAGTTAAATTAATTTTAGAATAATTTTAGACTTATTTAAACTAGAGTATAGTTTAACTTACTTCTAGAAATAGTAGCGCGCCTCTTTTAAAGACTAAAGTTATTAAGTATACTATATATCTACTTTAATACTCTAGTATAGACTCTAAAAGCTATATTTATATTATTTAAGTTTTAAAAGTAAATAGGTAATATTCTTTAGTTAAGAAAGTATTATAAGATACTAAAAGTATAAGTAGCCTATATAGACTATTTCTAAATTAATTTAAAACTAATCTAGTATAAGTAGTTTTAATACTATAGAGCTAGTAAAGTAAAAAAGAAGAAAACTTTTAGCTTCTTTTTAAATTTAACTATCTTAAGATAGGTTTTTAAGTACTCTAGTATTAAAATATATAAATATATTTAGAATTAATTATAGAATTTTACTTACTTATAAATAGATAAAAGCTTATATAAAATACTTAAGTAGATAAAAACGTTTATAAGCTAAATTAAGTAGAATAGAAAGAGAAGAAAGACTAGAAGCTACTTTAATAGACTTTAGTATTAGTTTAGAAATAGTATTTATACTAATAAAGAAAGTTCTTATAGTCTAGAGTTAT